ATGCATTGTTGGGAAAGAGCGGAATCTAAAGTAAAACACATGTGAAGCTTCTGTAAGCCTTTTTTGGCAGCTTTTCCTCCAGAGTTAAAGGCTTGAGCTGTATTGCAGGTGTTTATTGTCCATGGTGAATAAAGACCTGTAAACAACGATGCCAGGGGAATTTTACTAAACAAAGCAGCAGGTGAAATAGTAACACGTCTATGGCCAACTGTCTCTCTCTCTCTCTCTGTGTGTGTGTGTTTTGTTTTGTTTGTAGGCTTCCTACATGTGATGTGGGAAACTTTTATCAGGCTGTAGAGAGTAGCCAAGAAAGGTGGATCTGGCTCTCTTCCAGTAGGAACAAGGATAGAGATGTATCTTATTTCCTTCCAGTTTGTCACCAGCAGAGTGAACTGGGTGGTCCAGAGCTCGGCAGTGGATTACCTGCACCTGATGCTCGTGTCGATGAAATGGCTCTTCGAGGAGTACGGCATTGAGGGACGTTTCTGCATCAGCATCCACGACGAGGTGCGCTACCTGGTCCAGAGCGAGGACCGCTATCGGGCGGCTCTAGCCTTGCAGATCACCAACCTCCTCACACGGTAAGGACCGCCGCAGTCCTGTCTTTTTGATAGCCTGAGGCGAGGCCATGGTTAAGCCGGAAGAAGCCAGGATCGTGGAAAACATCCATTGGCGGTCAGTAAGTCAGGCAGCCATTCGTACGAGCAATCTAAAACATTTCAAGTTAATGAAGGAAAGGGGCCTAAAAGATGCATGCTAAAGACTCTGAATCAGAGTAGACATCACATCCTCTAGGAGGGATGAACGGCCAAATGAGTTTTCCTAAACCTTTGGTATGGTTTCAGACTTGCAGCAACCGGGTAAGACGTGGCTAGTGCCAGCAATATGGACACTGAACGTGGTACCTGTTGAGAGAGGGGAGGACCAGAACGGCATGATTTATGAATCTGCTGCGGAGTTTTTAGACTAGAGGGTGTTTGATCATGCTGAATAATGGCCTTTTGCATTCGTAGTTCTCGCAAGGATTTATTTTTGGAGATGATCTTCATTTCCAAGAATATGTGCAAGATCAGAAACTAAACCAATAGGGTTTATTCTGGTATTTTTTGGTTTTCTAAAATGAGCAAGGCAAGGCAGCCAGTTCTGTTCTTCTTTATTTGTTTACAGTCATTAGCAACAGCTCTTGACAGTCAAATTATGGCGAAAGAGAGGAAAGAAGAGCACAAATTAAATTTTCCTGCATGTGCCGCTGCAGTAATTTTAACAGATCCACTGAAGCTGTAATAAGAGTTGTCACAGTGTCAATAAACAGGAGAAGAAAATGACAAAATTCACAGAAGGAACACGCGAGGGCTAGATTATCATGGTAGGGAACCAAAGTTTAATATTCATGCTGTCAGCCAAAAACTATTCCCCAGAACCATTTTCCCCACCCATGTAGAAGAACGGGAACTGCTAGAAGCAAAAGAGTATCACAGGATGCAAAGGCCATGGTTCAGAAATCATCCACCCTAGAGGGAGGCACTGCTTGCCTGTTTTGTATAGCTTTGTGGGAGGATTAGTGGGAGGATATATCTGGTGCACTGGGAAAATACATGGCTGCATAAGGGACAGAGAGCCACCGTTGCAAGTTCTTGTGTCAGATTTCAGGGTACTCAAGGCGTTTACATTGAATAAATACTTCTTTGTGGGTGGTTGAAATGTGCTTCGTCTGAACCTTTTTCTCAAAACAAGAGTAAAACAACCAAATCTCCTATCAGGTATCTATGTTAGAAATTTAGTTATTTATCATAGGCTATAAAGACATGTGCCAGACTGGGCCTGTGACGGTTAGGAGACCCTGAGCCTGTCCCCTGTCTTACGGGAAAGGAGAAGAACGGCTTGAGGCTAATATACCTCCCCGTGTGGGTTGTCTGCATTTCCTAGGTGTATGTTTGCCTATAAGCTGGGCCTTGGAGATCTGCCTCAGTCAGTGGCCTTTTTCAGCGCCGTGGACATTGACCAGTGCCTAAGGAAAGAAGTAACGATGGACTGCATCACTCCGTCTAACCCCAGAGGGATGGAAAGGAAATACAACATCCCCCAGGGTGAGTAGAGTGTCGCCCTGCTCTGCAGACTGAGCAGACGAAGCTCGTGCAAAGAAAGAGGGCCCTTTTCTTCCCTACAGAAAGCCATGCCGGCAGAGGCCCCCATGCTTGGCTTCTTCCCATTCTTGTTTTATAAACACTAGGTCGTGCTAGAGATTTATTTCTCCTGCCTTGTGATAACGGTCCCAAAAGGCATGGGCTGCTTGATAAACATCTGGTTTGCTCTCTCACTCCAGCAGTTTCCTCTCATTACCGTTCGTTACTGATGGCTCTTTACACCTGAGCACTACAGGCACGTCAGGCTGACCGCTTCTCACCTAAGTGGGAGCTACGCGCTCAGCGCTTGACATAACCGCCTTCTAATTGGTGCAAATGAAGGGGTGTTTAAACCGCTGATAACTAAAGCTTGCAGTATTTTTTTTACTGATCTACAGTTGTGGCTTCAGGTTCCAACTAGGACACCTTGGCAAGAAACCGACTCAGGAACAGTGTCACACATTCTATTAAAAAAGGACCTTGCTCACAGGAACCTTTTAAAAGAAATGTTTAAAATAAAACTTCTGGGTGAAATGCTATGTAATGACTCTTATTTATTCTTTTTAGGTGACGCTCTGGATATATATCGACTTCTTGAGTTAACCAAAGGCTCACTGAAGAAAGGAAACTAGGGATTAAGGCTTCAGGCAGCTAACAAACCTCTCGTCTCAGGGAATCCACCTGGCAGCAAGTCTCTTAAAGTGGAGACCGGCCGGCCTGCTGACCAGCCTTTCCTTTCCCCTCCGAGAAGACAGAGAACGACGGGGATACCAACAGCCTCTGGATGCTGTGGTGACTCTCAGAAAGTGTTGAGGGCAAGAGAGGGGACAGGCTGGTGCCCTCTCGGACTTACAAGCGTGCAGGGGACCGTATGCAATACAAACGGCAAGCAGACCAGTTCTGCTGTGCTGTCCATTAAGTCCCATGTTCAATAGCCTGTGTCTATCGCTGCTATGCTGCTATGTGACTGGAGCAAAACCATCATCCAGAAAATAAATGGCATTTTTTCATTTTTTCCGTTGTCTCTTTTTCTTGGGTTCCTGGCTGTCGGATTGTGCCGACGCAATGCTCTAAAAGAAATTTAAACGCTTCCATTAAAAGTTGTTAGACATCGAAAGCTGCTGCGATTAGATTCAATTGAAACAAAGTCGAAGGACAAAATACGCAAGAGGCTTTCCAATGAGCTGCTGAAGCGATCGAGGACTCATAGATTTCTCCTTGGGCAAAGCCAAGGCCCGCTCTGCCAGATCTCTTGCAATCTGCTCTGTTTGCTGCCTCAGCTTAAAAAAAATTTAATTGGTGGAGGAAGACAGAAAGGCAGGGCATCAAGTGCCCTCCCCTTTAAACTGTCTGTTCATCTTTTTCCTCCCATCTGATTGTGCTTGCCAGCCGGCAGCCCATCCCACTGGCATCCATGGTTTACTACAACCCTGGCTGGATTTACAAAGAGAGCATCTTTCTCTCGGCGAGAAAAAGCAGCCCTTTTCCATTCTTCCCTTTCGAAGACATATATGCTGACCTGCTCGTTGTCAGGATCGTTCTCTGCATCCTCAGCATTCCGTTCCTGAAGGGCGCTCTCGAGTGTAGAGACGTTAATGCGGAAATCCCGGGAAGTGCTCAGTTTCATATACTGCATCAGGTTGACCTGCAGTAGCCGGAAAGGATGGGTGGAGGTTAAAAGGCCACCTTCCAGATATATGAATGTAGGGAGAAGTGTTTTTTTTCAAAAAAATTAGCTGGCTCAAAAATCTGTTATATACAACCAGATACCCCTCACCCTAAGACCGACACTTGAAAGAGAGCACTTCACTCGAACTACAGAGATCATTTATTTCTGTAGACAACGGGAACAGTATTCTCTGAAGTCTTAATTGCATCTCACCTGTTTCACTAAGCCATGGTTTCTCTGGAGCGCTCTTTACAACGGGTTTAGAACCTTTGGGAAATCCAGGATGGCTGCCGCTGTGGACCGCCGACTGGAAACCTACAGGGAACCTCAACGTTCCTGGCTAAGACCAGTAATCGCTCTAAAGAACCCCATCTCGCCGTAAGAGCTTCCCCAAGGTTCAAGAACACCAAAGGGGGGGGGGTCGTCTCTCATTTTTGTGACCCTCCTGAGATCACACAAGAGAGGCTGCTCCCTGGCTGGGCAACTCCCTTCCGCATGGGGCGACGCTGCCTCCCCTTCCCCGGCCTCCTTCCACAGGCAGGCAAAAACTTTTCTGTTCAGGCAGGCTTGTCGTAAGCGACGAGCTGCAAAAAAAGCCGCTTTAATCGGGGCGGATGCTGCACTCACATTTTATCTTATTTTTTTGTTCAATGGCTTTTGAAATACATTTTTAAAAAAATACTCTATATTTTTAGCTGCATTGTCTTTTAAACTTTTGTAAGTGGCCTTGAGTCCTTTTATTGGGAGAAAAGTGATATATAAATAAAGCAATGCATCGTTTGCAGAGATGGAAACTTCTTTTTGTGTTTTGATTTTTAAGAGCTGTAACTAATATTTCTGACATGGTATATCAGGACTCCTAATTATATACAGGTAGGCAAATGAAAAACAAACTCCCCTTCCAAGACGACCAGTGGGTAGTTGCCAGGGCGCTATTTAAGTTCAGCTTGTGTTATATTGCAGTTTGTTCACCTCGTTACTGAGCATTAATTACAATGGTGTATTTTTTTTTAAAAAAATTGCAAACATATCTTTTAGAACAGAATTTTACCTTTGACTTTTTAGAAAGGTGGATCAGGAAATTCTCATATTGTTCAATTGCAAAGATCAAGTTTGGAATTGGCTTCGTTTCTCGCAACACTTTGGCCTACAGGAGGAGAGGAAACGAACCTATTAAACTTTGGTTAGCGACACACACAAGCGATAAGACCTCACAGCAAACTAATTTTATAGTTCGTCATGGTGAATTCGTACGTCCCATCATGCTAACCACTAGGAAATCTCTGAGCCATGAACGTCAGCGCTTGATCTTCGGGAGAGTCTGAACGGAGACCCCCTGAATGACAGAGGCGCACAGCCAGGCAGGCCTTTCCGTGGCTGAACGATTCCTTTTATCCACCCTCCCAGTTCAATTTTTACTTTAGATCTGCCTGTTTTTGCTCTCTTCCTGGCTTCTCTGCCGTCCTGGACGTGCAGATAGTTCTCCCACGTGACCTCTGCACTGGGATCCAATCTTCCTTTCTCTCTCCGCTGTTCAGAAGATCTATGCAGTGCCAACCTAAAGATTCCATCCGAAGTACACCTCACCGAAATCCAGAGAACTGCACAGCCCAGAAAACACTGAAGGGCCAAATACATCTCTGCCTGAACATGACATACAGTATCCTGAAGTCAAAGCATGTAGATTTCTTGCTTGTTGACTACACCACCACCACCCCAATTGCTACGTGGGGAATTGGTGCCCTTTGGAATAAAAGCGAGGGAAAGTTTAACCGCTGTACCTACCATGACGGTGGACACCTCTGCAGCTGCTTTCTCCTTTTTCTTTTTCTTTTCCCCTGCAGAACTCAAGGTTTCACTTTGGATGTCCTGAAACGTTAAAACCAGGAAGAAAAAGACATTTCGGCTGGTAGGAAGGGAGAAGCTTGGGGGAGAGGAAGATCGGGGAAGAGGACCGGATGCTCATTCGGAATGAGCGGCGTAAATGAACGGCCCCCTATCTGCGCAGTCGACTTAACATTGCTCTGCAAAGCTCAAGGCAGCACCTGTAAGGTCCCCGGGGTTACCTAGCCAGACACAGATCAGCCCTAAACCTGGCTGGCTTCAAGCAAGATGGGACACCACCTCTGCTTTCTGGCACAGCGGACGGAACTGGGAACTGGAAGCATGAAACGGGACACCCTCCTCTCTTCTGCCCTGTTCTTCGGCCTTACCTGTACGTAGGTGATGAAGGCATAACACTGGGGGGTCAAGTGGGAACCGGAGAGTCTAACCTAGAGAAGAGAAGCGAAATGGAGATCTTTCCACAGGAGCAATTTTGGAAGAGGTAGATGTGTGAGACTCTGCTAGCATATCAGGTAAAAGACAAAAGAAAAACTGAAAAAGACAAAAACGGGATGGCACCTTAAAGAGGGTTATATTTTAAGGGAGAGAAGCGAAACGGAGATCTTTCCACAGGAGCAATTAAAGACAGAAGAAAAAGAAAAACTGAAAAAGACAAAAACGTGGTGGCACCTTAAAGAGGGTTATATTTTAAGGTGAGCTTCCTCAGGCCTTTTCTTCCATCGCAATAAGGGAAACACACACACCCTCTCTCTCACACACATACGTATACATACAAAAGGCATCCACTAATATTACTGTGACGTAAGACTTCTCTCACACACATACGTATGCATACAAAAGGCATCCACTAATATTACTGTGACGTAAGACTCACCAGTTTTTCGAACCGTCCTGGAATCCCCCCGGTTGTGCTTCGACACACTTGAATATACTAGAACAATGCAAGAGGACGTGGGGGTTCAGCAAGAAAATTCTCCTTGTGAGTAAACCCCAGCTTGCCTCAAAAGGGTTGCCCTTGGATCTCAGTCTAGAGAGGCCAATACGGCCACCTCCCTCTCATATTTTTTGGGGGGGAGAATGTTTTCATGTTGAATTTCTTCTCTCCAGATTTCATGCTACATGTCTTTGGCACACAAAACAGGGCCCACCCCCTCTCAAACAGAGAAGAGAGAATTTCTTCTCTCCAGATTTCATGCTACAAAATTAATTGAAAATCTTTTTTTTTACTGTGTGGCATGCTTTTAAATTTTTAATCTGAAAGGTCTCATCTGTAAAAATTGGGCCCTTGAACCTCTAGCCTCTTCCTCTCCCACCAAAGGGGGGGGGGAATACTCACATATTTTACAAGGGCTGTCAGAATGGCATACACCTTGCCGACGCTCCTCAGCAGTGTGTCCACACAGCTCCCTGCAGGCAAGGCAGTTTGGAGCAGCTCGTGGTAAGCGGTGAGAAGCGTCCCCAGCTGACGGAGGATGGCCTTTTCTAAGGGCTGCGTCTGGTTGGCTGCTTGAGATGCGTCTTCTACCAAAAAGAAAAAAGAAAAAAAAAGAAGAAGAGAGGAAATCTTGCAACAAACAAAAGATATCAGTGCTGTAAATCTCGGCTTAGTAAGTCTACCACCTGTTTTGGACAAAGCTATAATCTTCAAGACTCGGGCACGGAATGGCGTTCCCTCACTGCTGACGGGAAGATGAGGTCAAGAGCTAGCAGCAGCTTAAGGTGGGGCGGGCAGAGGGTTACTCAGGTGTCATGGTTAGGTCTCTGGGTGAGTTGCTGATCAGCAGGGCAGCCAAACTCCCAAGCCGTGAATGAGTGAGGCAAGAGTAAGATGTCGGCTCAAGATAGGAGGATGCTGTGGAGTCCTCCCAAACTCATCAGGGCCTCAAAAGCATCCCGGAGACGACTCGAGGCCAATTCTAGTTCCTCCTTGGACGAATTTCCTTACAGGGCTGCCCAGAAGTGGAGGAGAGACGATCTGAAGACCTACAACTATTCACTGAAAGGACCCGATTTCCCCACTGAAAGGATGTGTGCATTTTAACCTGTTTGCAGGTCGGTTTTCACCCAGCATTTGCTGAATGTGTGTTTTCGTCTTCATACTTCATGTGCTGGCGCTTCTCCACATGTATCTATTGTGTTTGAAATCGGTGGAGGCTGAATGACCCAAGTGGATGAGTCAACCGTCAGGTCCAGCCCAGGGCGAAATTGACAGAAAGGCGTGGGGCGCTCAAAGATGAGCCGCCTCCTGGGGCAGAAGATTCTGTGGGCTCCAGCCTGCTTCCCCACGAGCTTGTCCCAAATCAAACCTGATGAGAGCAAGCCTTGGACCCTCCCTCCTTCCAAATGAGCTAGGCGGCTCCCTCCCCCATCCCCACCCCCCAAAAAAACCTTATAGGGCAAGAGTGCCTTTTCTCATGTTCACCTGCCGTCTCTGATCCCAAGCAGCTCTTCATTTTATTGACCAGCCAGTCCACGTCTTCCAGGATCTTCTCCGCTTGGCCCAAACTCAGCAACTAAACAAGAGGGAAAGAGAGCGAGAGTCTTTGGAACAACCTGCGGATGTCAAACCGTGAAAGACATCACAATGGCCGGAGGGGGGAAGGCTTGGGTGAATCGCCCTTCTTTCCTCCTAGAACCCAACTCACACAAGCTGTAGGCGCTGCCGTCTTGGAGTTCACGATGGCAAAGTGGGACTGATGTTCCACTTCCAGATCCTAAAACCAAAGACACAGGGGAGGAATCGAGATTATTCTCACCCGTCGTCTCCTGCGGATCCTCGCAACCGCCTTCTGAGGAAGGGTTAGAACAAACGCGAGGGGCTCATTGTCGCTTGGTGATTTTTGTGGCTGAGTGGGGTGTGAGAGGAATCCAGATCTTCCTGGTCCTTCTCTCCCCACTTAGGGATCCCTTTTTTTCCACCTGAGGACCAAACGCCGTTTCACAGACATTCCCGGAAGCCAACGGCCTATATAGTGTAGGAGTGGGGCCAAAATATCAGCACCCCTCCTCGGCTTAAATCGCTCCTAACTGAAGCTGTAAGAGGAGCATTTCAAATGTTTAGAGCAGGAAAATGGCTGAGGCACTGTGACGTGATGGTGTCAAGGGGAAGAAAGTGTGGCCCTTTCGGGTGCTGGGGTTCCCCCGGCTTCTCTGCAGTTGTTCCCACCATCACATCAAAGAAGGGAGGTTCTCGAGGGGGGGGCAGCATAAGTATTGAATGAACGCAGAAGGAACGCAGAAGGAACTCAGCTGGAAAGACCCAGTGCGCTCCCTCACCTGGTTGATGTCCCCAAGCTGAGCGTGGATATCCTGGGCAAGCTCACGCAACACAGTGACAGGGCTCTTGACGAGGGCATGGAGACTGAAGAGCAGGTTCAGCAAACCTCTGCAGCAAGGCGCGTCTTCTGCGGAGAGAGGAAGCACACTGGCAGAAGTTACAGGAAGCCTAGAAACCAGCACTGGGCTCCTTTAAACCCAAAGCCAGCAGACCTGGTGGAAACGTAATGTTGGCCAGGCACCAAAACACAGGGATGTGATCAGGGACACTTTTAAATGCCTCTTTTGTGTGTGTGTGTGTCAGATAAAATTCGAGGGTTAAGATGCCCTCTTCCATTAGCAACTTTACTAACAAGTGGACCAAACCTGGTACTAACTGTGGGCTTTGGAAGGCAATTTGGCATTGATTAACAAACAGCAGTGCAGGACAAATACTAACCAGTTCTCAAACTGGGATTGTGGAGGACCGTGCTGGGCCACTTTAAGACATTTAGTGGTTCAAAACTCCTCCCGAGCAGCTTTGGGTACCACCTTTAATCCTGTACGGATTTTTTTAATGTATTAAAAAAACAAAATAAAGATCAACGCAAATATTTCTCTGGGTGCCCGCTCACTCCACGGCTTTCAAGACAGAAGAATCCAATCTAAACCCAGCCAGAATTCTTACCTAAGCCAGTTTCTTTGCAGATCTTGACCACCCAAGACAGCAGCTGCAAAAACTAAAGAAAGAGAGGGAGCCATTTTGCATTAAATCATCTTAAGCATACTTCCTCTGTCGTCACCTTACAAATCTCCCAGACTGAATTACAGGAGGATCACAAGAACATGAAGGCATCGCCAAAACACGAACTCATAAAAACGGTGGTGATTGCAACGGGGTGCTGTTGTTTCCTCCTCTCCTGCAGCCCTTGTTTTTCTAAAGGTTTCTGTGGGGGCAGCAGGACCCCAAACTCCTGCTTGATGGAGGCGAAGATGGAAGTTCACCCTATCAGTTTCTTTGGCCTGAACAAAAGCACAGCTCTTTACATGTCTGAAAAGCCCCTTTTTATTTGCGTTAAAGGCAAATTTAAAAGCATGAGAAGCTAAGACATAATTGAGCGGCATCTCTGAAGAGCCACAGCACATCCGAGAGTTTGAACTGAAGGCTCACCTAGATCATAAAAGGGCTGAAAACAGATCCGCGGCACAGAGACCCTAGTAGGGCCTTGAAAAAGTGGGTTGGAAAAATAAAAAATAAACTGCCAAGAGCTCCCAGCCATGCACAGCCTATTGCAGGCATGAGGGACGAGTTCTTAAAAGGAAAACAACTTCAGTATCCTCGTTTTTGCCCTGATAAAAGACAGGGCGACAAGGGAGGGCCCTGCTCTGTTTCAAAAACCTTACAAGCTGAACTCAAGGCCCCTGGATCTGACGGATCTACTGGCATGGGTCCCTCCACCTTTTGCAGGCCTGCTCTTTCCTCTTCTCAAGCAACTGCAAGAGATACCTGGGAGGAAGAGGGTTCCAAGAGTTTGGAAAGCGTGGCTAGAATGCTGATCAGCAGAAGGGCTTCTCTACTGTTGAAGTCGTCTTCAGCGCTATTCAGTTGGTTCACCAATGATCTCTAGGGGGGAGAAAGAATAGGAGGTCACGAAAACAACACCAGGAGAAAGCACGGAGAAGAGGAAGGAATGAAATCAGATAGCAGCACCTGGAGCGTTCTTCACTGGCCTGCTCCTGAGGAGCATTACTTAACTTAGAGGGCAGCCACTGGACCCTCAACCTTCCCAGTTAGAGTGAATTCTTTCTGTCAACTCAGGCCCAGCCACATCCTCTCTACAGTTTACCTGGAACTGCCGAATCTGGAAGTTGACTTTCTCGGTCACATTCACAGCTGCATCCTCAGCCTCTTCATCTGATGTATCTGGTCAGAGAGAAACAAAGCAATGTCACAAAGGCCCAACGTTGAGCCCGGGAGTGAAGGATTCAAGATAAAAGGAACACGGAGAAGCTGCAGTGATGCACCACCAACGTGGTTTGTTGAGTCTGGTCTGTTGTGATGGGCACACCTACCTCTCCTAACAAACCACGGTTTGCAAAACTGCCACAAACCACAGTCTGAATTCCTAACCTTCCAAACTCTGGGGTGGCTTCTCTCTGGCTTGTTGCTTTCACAGCCCACCCTAGAAGAGGAAATGACCAAAGGGGGCAGAGAGAAGGAAACCGGAAGTGTAGAAGACAAGCTGGGGTTGGTTTGGTCAATTCACGAGTTAAGCTACAAACCAAGGTTTATGGTGAAGTCCCAACAGATATCATGAAGAGAAATGGTGAAGGCTTGGCCCAGCCAGAACTTGGAATGAGCTATTGAGAATCACAGCTTGGCCATCTGAGTTTCAAGCTGGGTTTTGCCACTCCACCCTTCCTGCCTCTGACTTGGCATCTAGAATATAGTAGTGACGGCATGAGAGGCTTTGCCCTAGAAGCCGATGCTGGGATTGGGGTACCACCAGAGAGAAGACCCTTGCCTCTTACAGCCATAAGCAACACATGGCTAGCAGGGGGGGGGGAAAGAGAATAGGCTGAAATAGAGCTTTTTATCCGAGGGGCAGATTCACACGGAAAGGGCAGTCTTCTACACCATCTGGTTACAGATCACGAGTCAATGGTCACGAACCCATGCTTTGCAACATTTCTAGGCCACCGTGAATCCTTACCGAGGGCCTGAAGAAACTGCGGGATCTTTGCCGGATAAAGCTGCTGCACTGCGTTAAAGATCCGATGCAAACCCTCCAAGCACGAGAGCGAGATGCTTTTTCCTTTTTCCTTCTTCCCTGACTCTTCAGCCGCTGTCGGGATCGAAGTGTATCTCCACAGGAGGACTCTGCGNNNNGGGGAGAGGAAGGCGGACGGCTAGCAAACTTAGTAGCCAAGCGCGATGGTTATCGGTTGTCTCTAAATAGAGAGAGGCGATCTGCTCAGAATCTAATACTAGTTCAGTTTCCAAGAACCCTTCTGGGTTTTTGAATGTTTTGCTTCTAAGCAACAAGCCTGAGCTAGTTTTAGATGCTAGCCTTCATGGGGGACACACCAAAGCCTCTGGTCCACAAGGCACGCGACTGACCGAGTGATTTTGCAGATGCTCTGGAACATCTTCTCTGGATTCTGCCCATCCGGCCCGTCCGTCTGGCCCGTCTCCTCCAACTGCCGCACTTTCTGCAGGGCGACACCGACGGCGTAGCGCAGGAAGTCGCTGCTGGAGCGCAAAACCGCCAGGCTCTCCTCCCGGCTCTGGGAGTTGTCCCTACAAGGGTCAGAAGGAAGCGGATTCTTGGAGGAGATCCCCGTGGGCCAAAAGGACAAGGAGGACGAGAATCCATGAAGCCCTTCTCTCTCTCTCTCTCTCCTAACCCCTCCGCTCCTCACCTGAAGAGGCTGGTAAGCAAGGTGCACACAAAACCCATAGAAAGGAAACTCCGGGCCATTTTGCTTGCCGATGGGGGCTTGTTCTTTCCAGCTTTCTCCCTGAGGATGTCGCCCAGTTTGGTGTAACACTTGAACAGGCCCAGGACGTCTTCAGAACTGCTCTTGCTGCAACACAGAGGAGCCAAAGGTGAAAACACGCGGCTTGAGACGAGCAGGCAGAATGAAAGAAACCACCAAGGGGGTGGGTGGCCTTGGAAGCAGGCCGGACGCCACCGCCTTGCCTTTCTCTCTTTCTCTGCCCTCCCACACAAACTATGTGCAAGGGAGAGGTTGCCATTCCCTCCTCCTGTTTATTGACTGCGAAGAGGAACATGGTGGCACTGCGGGTTAAACTGCAGAAGCCTCTGTGCTGCAAGGTCGGAAGACCAGCCATCATAAGATCGAATTCACGCAGCAGAGTGAGCTCCCATCGCTTGCCCCAGCTCCTGCCAACCTAGCCACTCGAAAGCATGTAAAAATGCAAGTAGATAAATAGGTACCACCTCGGTGGGAAGGTCATGGCATTCTGTGTCTAGTCGCGCTGGCCACGTGACCACGGAAACAGTCTACGGACAAACGCTGGCTCTACGGCTTGGAAACAGGGATGAGCACCGCGCCCGACTGGACTCAATGTCAAGGGGAACCTTTACCTTTTACCTAAGGCTGAGAAGAGAAACGGGCTCCTGACCTGAACTCCCCTGTGATAAAGTTGTACTCCATCAGGACTTCACAGACGCCCATCACTAAAATGGCGTAGATGTTGTTCTTCAAACCGACGCCGGTTGATGGAGAAAAGTCGGCCGACTTATCCTGAGCATCAAACACAAAAGCAAATCAGACCTGCTCTCCCGGCCCTCCCCCACCCACCCTGAGAAAGGGAGCCCTTCCCTTCCTGCTCTTGCTTCTCCCGTTACCAGTTCAAAATCTTCCAGTTCGCTCTTGATCATTCGGCGGGTGATGGACTGCAGCATCTCCTCCAGGTCTTGCTGCAAGCTCTCCTCCTCCTCCTCCTCTTCCTCCTCCGCCTGTCGACGCAGGCTTGAAGTGCTCTTATACCAGACAAGACAGTGCTGGACGCAGCCAAGGAGGTGAGCCTGGAGGAAGCAGCCACGCGTTGCTGGGCCGTTTGTTCAGGCACCGGGATCAGGGCCCTGTGATGGGCTGGTGGTGGTCAAATAGGGCTTTAACCCTTGGCCTCCCACTGCCTCCACGGTTCGATTGGATTTCCTGCACCTGTCGTTTGCCAAAAAACCCGCTCTCCCTCTCCCCTTTCGCGCCAGGGGGTGGCTTCCCTTCCACAGTGAATGGAAACCCATGGGTGGTTTGGTATAAAGAGATCTGCCATTTAAGGGGAAAGGCACTGACGTAGGTCGGTGACAGAAAGGCAGGCATCAGCACCCCTGGAAATGCATTTAGGAAAGCCATTATTTCCGGAAAGGCGCTGACATGGGTTGGTGACAGAAAGGCAGCATCAGTACGCCTAGAAATGCATTTAGGAAAGCCATTATTTCCCCATCCCTTTCTCTCACCAAAGGTTCCTGCAGGAAGATTTGGTCCTTCTGAGCCAGGATGCACCCTTCAAGTTTTATCGGGGGCAGCAGGTCACGTTCCGGCTCATAATATCGCTTCATCTGCCAAAATAAATGAGGAATAATTTTATTTTTTCTTTAAAAAGAAGATCCACACTTCCCTAAAGACTCATCCTCACAACAGACACATGTCAATTCCCTCCACTTCTTTCCTGGTCCAGTGCCCACCGCTTTAACCATTTTCTCCAAACCTTGCGGATCAGAATGGAAAAGTGGAAGCAGAAAACGCTGTCAAGAACACAGGAGCCCCCGAAGCACACACGCGGAGTGCCGAACAAGATACGTTATGTCTGTGAAGCTTTAATCTCTTTCCTCTACCTGAGACAGCAGCATCTCCAGAATGGATGTGCTCAGCTGAGAGTTTCGACGCAGCACATCATAGAAACCCTACGAACGGAGGAAAGGAAAATAAAAGTGTCAATGTTGGAGGGGGGGGAGACTTTTAAAAAAAGTTATGCCAGCCTGAATGCAACTGCGTAAATCGCAAACTCACAAGCTGCCGATGGCACTCCTCGTTAGTCACACGACTCGGTGCACAAAAGGGATGAAAGCAGCCTCTCCGTAACGAGCAGCGATGGGCAGCTGTGATTTACACCGCTGCACTTAATGCCAGTGTAACTAACCAACAAAATTTTGGCGGACGGCTCCAGCTCTGCCCTTAGTAACAGTCCAGGCGGTTCAGGGCGCACAACGAAAGCAGCAGAACCATCGGGTAATTTGAGTGCACGGGCGACTTTATTGGAGCTGAACCGTTTCCCGCAGGCGGGCAGAGGCCGATCACCTCAGCCGCCTTCCCCGCAGGTTCCCCGCAGCGCAACCTGGGGGTCCTTACGAAGAGCGCCAGTGGGGAAGATGTGACGGGGGAGGCCGGAGGGGGAACCCTTCCTCACCTCGTAGAGCATGAGCCGGACGTCCGCCTGCTGACTGAGGCCTCGGCGCAACCCGCCCAGGATCTCCAGGCAGAAGGCTTCGTTGGCAGCTGCGTTGTAGCGTGCGTGAACATCCGCCTGGACCTGGAAGGCAGCGGCAAAGCAGGGCAGGATCAGGCCTTCTCCGCAAGAGTGAAGGAGGCCAGCCCTCCTGTCCCACGCTTGACTCTGCCAAGCATGGGAGACCGCCACCATCTTAGCTGGTTTTTTTCTGGTGTTCTCTCTCTCTCCGCCGAAGTTCTGAGCACCCAGTTCTAATTCTGCCGAGCTCAGGCTGACGAGACCGCCACCATCTTAGCTGGTTTTGGGGTTTTTTTTTGTTTTCTGGTGTTCTCTCTCTTTCCGCCGAAGTTCTGAGCACCCAGTTCTAAATACCCCGTAAGCATTTACACCTGGGACGTGGAATGGGTGGCATTTTTATATTGGCAGCTGGACTACATTGTCCATGATGCCTCATCTTTACATTCAACGGCTAGAGCTGATGGGAGATGTAGTCCAACACCTTTTGGACAGCTGCATCTCTCCTCTCTTCCAGACTTACACCCTCTGTCACAAGAGCTAAAGGCCAGCAAAGATCAAGCTGGTTGAACTTAGAGCTTCAGTGGTAATTTTTTCGAACTACAGTTCCCAGAATCCTCCAGTAACTGCAGGGTTAGCAATGCTCCTAGCCATCGTAGCTGAGATACTGCAGGAAAGAGCCCTAAGGATTAACTCCTCCAAGCTCTGCTCCAAATGCCTGTTTTCAACAACAGCTTCTGGGCATTCATGGAGAGGGGAAGCCACTGCCTCCCTCTGCTGTTTGTCCATAATTAGGAATAATTACAGGTAGACTGCTCCTACACAGGGCTGCACCAATTCCAGTTCCCAGAAATGTGTTTTATCTCCTTGAAAGCCCACTAAGATGGTGGCTGGGAGATTTTGCAGTCGTGAGATCCATTATATTTCTCCTCTCTGCCCTACTCCCAACAGATATGAATGAGGAGGTCAAGCAGGTACCTGGGACCGCACAGGGTCTACCCAAGGGCGCCGGACTTACCTGACTTGCTCCAGTGGTTTGGCTGCACTGGGAAGAGGTCAAGCTGCCCAGAACCTTAAAATTCTTCAAGAGGAGCAAAAACCCAGCAACGGCTGACTTACGGGCATCCAGCTGCCTGCAGCGGAGAGACGGGAGGGAAACCCAAGACAGGGAAAGAAGTCAGCTGAAGCAGAGGAGTCTCCGGAAGCTCCTGTCGACCATTGCCCTAATGGGAAATTCTGACATACGGCGACTTCACAGGGTTTCCTAGCTATAGAGACCTCTGAGGTGTAGTACCATTCCCTTCCTCTGGGGGCGCATCCTGGGACTGTGCAGCTGGCCCAAGTCTACAAAGGCTGGCTCTTCTCCCAGAAGAAGCCCCAGTGGGGGAAATGAACTGCCGGCCTCTGGATCCCAAGCTCACCCCCTGAGCTATCCATCCAGTCACTAAACAGAACAGGATCATCCAAACAAGAGTTTGGAAAACTGAACTGGCAACAAGCAGCATCACCGTTGACAGGAGGAGGAGCAAAGCCTTCGCCTGGGGCTTCTGCTTGGAAATTCAGTCGGAGTGGAGTCTCCCCACGAGAGCAGCCGGCAGCCCTGCTTTGATGCAAAACACAGCAACCCTGCCTTTGGCCTTAAGCAAAAAAAGAACACTTCCGTTTGGGGAAGCTGTCTTACAAAAGACCCTGCCGATGATCCGCCGAGAGATCTGTGGCAGGGATAAAAACAGCCGGCTTTTACGGCTAAGAGAAGGGAGCAAGACAACTCAAGCAATGTCGGATCTATCCTGTTTTTCTGGAGGGCAACTTACCCGGAGAACATGGATTTGCGAAGAACAAGGATTAAGGAATCCCTCAAGGACATACTTATTTTGAGCAGGGGCTGGGGTGGGGAGGAAAAAAGAAGGAGCGTTAGAACTTTGCTTTGCCATGTGAATCAAGAAGGAACAACGGGAACCAGAAGGCTAAGGGGGCGGAAAGGCTAGGAAGGACATTGAAACATTTTTAATACAGTGTTCTTTAACATTTGAATAATGTACTGTTTTTTTAAGCTTTCCATATTGTGCTTTATTGATATAAGTCACTTTTTTAGGAGAAAGGCGAGGTAAGAATATTTTTATTAAGTAAATGGACGAATACAACGGGCTGGATCCCACCCTTTTTATCCCACCCTTTTTCTCTTCTGCTGATTTGATTTATAAAACAACTTCACGGTTTCATTGAAAGGGAAAAGGCGAAACGAAAACATTGAGAGAGAAAGAGAGAGGTGAACCTTTAATAAACTAGTGATGATTTCTGTGTAAGTGGCACCTATTTTGTCACTTTTGACAATTTTAAAGGTGGACGGTATATTGGTTTGAGTTGTTGTTGTTTAGTCGTTGAGCAGCACACTTAGAGTTGTGTCCGACTCTTTGTGACCCCATGGACTGGAGCATGCCAGGCCCTCCTGTCTTCCACGGCCTCCCGGAGTTGGGTCAGTATCTTCTGGGTCAGACATTGGTTTGACCACCACAAATCGCTTCAAGAACATTCAGAACTGAAAAAGCCACTCGTTAAAAAAACCCACAGAAAATAAAAACAGCTTTACCTGCACAGCTTTAAGGAGTCCCTGGACAGTGTCGAGGGGCAGGAAAGACAGATGATCGAAGGCTTCTCCTACTTTGGAAGATGAGTTCTGAAGGACAAGGGGAGAGGACCTAACAATGCTGGACAGAAGATCTGAAAAGAGAAGAGGAAGGCTTGTGAGAGGAAGACGGAGACGTTGCAAGCTTGGGAGAGACGCACAGCCTATAGTTCTACTACAGACCAACAAAAAGGTGGCCCTCCTTGCTTTTTGTGCTACAAAAGACCAGCAGGGCTACCCCCTTGGAAATTCCTCGAACAGCGTCAATGTGTTATCTCAGGCCCAGAATTCTCAAAACAGAAATGTAGCCCTGACGGCCGTGGCTCTAGAGGAAAGAACAGGGATCCTTTGAAGCCAAGAAACTTTTCTTTCCCGCCCCGTGAAAGGCTGAGATGGTCTTCCCCAGGCGCCATCTTTCCCTTCACTCCTTCCAGGCTTACCTATGAAGTGGCTGACAGGGGAGCCTGCATTTGTGATCACTCGGTTCAGGAGCTGCTCCAAGATCTCGCTTTGAATGGGTTCGTGAACCTGGAAGGGGGGGGGGCAAAACATCGGAAAGAGTCACGTTGGGTCTGTTCCGTTTCAGTTCCCTGGAGAGTCGAAGAGACAAACTGGGTCGGTCGGCTTTTCTGAAGTTGTCTCAGACCTGCAGGAGGTTTGACCAGCTCGTGGAAAAGGTCCCCAAAGACCCCCAGCGGTGACCCCTTCTTGTGGAATTGCTGGGAAGAGTAAAAACCCCCTCCTTTGAGGATATGATCCTTCATGGGAGGAGAACGGATCATTCGGTCACTCTTGACACAGACAAGCAGAATCTCCCTCAATGAGTGGCTGGACCCAAAAGACTGTAGCAACAGTCGCAAATATCCACTTTTTTGGGGGGGGGGCTGTGCTTGGCTGAGTGTAGACCGTTCAAGTCCAAAAGTGCTTGGAAAAACCCTAAGGGTGCTTTGGTTTCTCCATCTTTTTCAAACCGATGGGCTAGAATCCTATGGCCGATGGAGGCTTGCCTACGAGGAACCACGTTAAGCCTCGGCTGCTACTTAGCCCTTCTTCATGAGGGGCTCGTCGCCCCCCCCCCGAGCATGCCTGCGCCCAAGCGTGGGAACACAGAATGCCCCTTCGGGCTGACCTTGAAGGCTTCCAAGAGGATATCCGCTCCCAACTTGCAAGTCTGCTGAGCTGGAGTTTTGGGGAGGCCGAGATTCATTTCCACGCTTTTCCCTCCAAAAGGTCTCTTGGGTCCATACGAGTCCATCAGGATGAACCCAAGCTCCACCAGGCCCTGGGTCACATGATCCCAACCAAACACACTGGACAGGAGCGTCAAAAAAAGGGAGAGAGCAAAATAAACAAACAAATAAATAAAAATGAAAAGCACAACGTCCACGTTCTTAAAGTTCATTCTCACTGTTCAACAAAGGTAGAGCTGGCATTTCTGTAAAGCCGCAAATGTTTTGCAATAATATTTCAGTTACCACTTGTCTGTTTCATATTTTATATACTGTATTTGTGGTATCCTGCCTTTCTTTCTGCGAAGGACCCCAGATGACTCACGACATGAACAAAAACAGATACACCTAACAAGACAGCAAGCTGTTACTACCAAAGTGTGATTAAACGGGCTGTATTAAAAACAAGCAGTGAATTAAAAGCACAACAGCAGCGGTTAAACTGCAGTACTGCAGCCAAAACTCTGTTCACGACTCAAGTTCAACCCCAGGTCGCTGGCTTGAGGTTCACCCAGATTTCCATTCTTCCAAGGTCAGTAAATCTGAGTACCCAGCTTGCAGGGCGGCAATGTGTAACCTGCATAATTAAATTGTAAACTGCCCAGAGAGGGCTTTAAGCACTATGAGGCAGTATATAAGCAGCACACTTTCCTTTTGGCTTTTTAACAGTAAAGAATGACAACACCCAGCACGAAAGGAGCCTTCCTTCCATGGCTTCTTAGTATAAATGAACTGTTGTCCTGTGATGGAAAGAGGAAGAGGGAAGGGATCAGCCGAGTAAGGCGTCTCATGGCCTGGAAATAGGAAGAAGGCCCTCTTTGGGGAGTCCCAATCAACTGTGGTGGCGAAGAAGGACGAACCGAGAGAAAGCATGGCTCCCCTTCAAGATCACAAGCCCCAAGCAGGCTTCCATGGGGTGACGGTGGATGTGTAAGGCATTATTAAGGATACATGGCATGCTGATGCCAGTGGTGAGGCTAGGAAAGCAGGCGGAGAGGGGTATTTCAGTCATTCACCTCTGCTTCAGCCGCTCACCTGTTTACCACAACTTCTAAAAACATGTCAGATATGCTGAACTGTTGAGGGACCAAATCCTGCAGAAATTTGGAGCTCTGGAGAAACTGTTTGTCCTTGAAGCTTCTCACAATCGACGTTTTAAGGAAGTCAAACACCTAGAGGGAGAGGGAGAAAAAAGGGTTTTTTTAAAAAAAGTTGCATGCCGCCTCGATTTCCAGTTCTGGAAGAAAGGTGGCAGATTGACTAAACAAACCAACCGGGTGCCCCAGTTTGCTCAAACAAAGTTAAGAGCCAATCTTAGTAAGACTGTATTCGGTGAACTGAGCAAATGCAGGGAGCCCACAAACATATTTGCGTCCAAACTCATTTGTGTCGTCAAGAAAGACGTACTGTACCTGGTCTTTAAATCTGTGTATTCTGGCCACTGAGAGCAGAATGGTTACACTGAAAGGACATAACGCCTTGCCGGGATCCCCTTGCTGCTCGGCCTAAGAAATTTCAAGGAATAGAGAAAGTCAGAAAAACACAGTATTTATGATGAATTTTGTGCTCTACCTCAGATCTCGCGATTATAAAGAGGGTCTTTGTGCTGGGAGGAAGATGGGCTGTAAGTGAACTGTAATAAATAAAGAATAAGTGAATGTTTCAGTTTTCCCTTTAGATTCAAAACAGCGACTGAAATCCAGGAATTAAGTCAACTAAAGCAGGCTCATGGAATCCCTGGGGCTTCTCTCTAACGGAAGGGAACTACTCTGTTTGCTACTTACTACTGGATTTTAGCACCGCTTCTATGGAGAAAGCCACGGTATTTTTTTTAAAATCAGATCTATAAATAATAAAGCTGAGTTGATAGTGAAACCAGCTCTTCCTAATGTCCCAAATCATGGTTTGGTTGGGTCACAACAAAGCACCACGGCCCCCACTTACAATCCAATCAGCCCCAGTAGCATCGAAGGTCTTTTTTTGATAAGCAGATTAACCACCGCGGTCATCTCTGACGGCGTCAACCAATGGCTCCACGCTCAGGCTTGTCGTGTGTTTCACATACCTTTAAGTGCTTTATGAGTTCCTTTCCTAAATCCTGGTCCAGATTAATGGCCATCACAACATGCAAAACGATGGTGCCTTCTACGTGACGGAGCTGGTCTAAGGGAACGGTGGCCTCTCCGAGGTCCGCTGACCTGAAAAGAGTCAGTCACACAACCACAAAGAGGCAGTAGGTTGTACCATCACGGCTGTAACACAGATGGAGTAAGGACGATCTAAAGGTAAGAACCATCGTAGCAGAACGAAAGACAAGGAGAAGCAACTCACTCTAAATCTCTCTGCTCTTCCTTTTGCTTTTTATCCATCTGGTTGAAAAAGTTGATGACTCCTTCCAATATGTTCTTCTTGCCACCCTGGAAAAGTTACACGGCCAGAAAGTAACCAAAATCCTATTTCAGTGATAAAAGGGATCAATAATATTGACCCTCCCGTGCAGTGCTTGGGGAAGCTGGCTGAAGTCTGACATAACGTCTCCTCCTTGGGTCCTGAGCAGAGCCTGGCAACCTTGCTTTGTCAAACTATAACTCCCAAAATTTGCTAGCCACCATGGCCGTAGGCGAGGGATCCTGGGGGCTCTAATCCTTCAAAGTGAAATTCCCAATCAGGGAATGTACGGTTGGTGAACAAACGTACAAACAGAGATCCAGTTTGGGAGGCTTGTGCATTTCCAGGGGGGCCCCAGCAGCTGAGTTGCACACGACGCACACGACGTACCCCCAAGAAGACCTGGCTCAATCCCCAGCAGATGGGAAAAGAGAGCTCCATCCAGCCCCATCCAGCGGTTGTGGAGCTAAAAATGGTACCCCCAAGAAGACCCGGCTCAATCCCCAGCAGATGGGAAAAGAGAAACCAAGGAAGATGTTGCGCCGTCAGTAATGGAGGAGGAGAAGGTGCCAAGGCAGCATCCACGGAAGAGGGCACGCTCTTTATAAGGGGACCTTCCTTTTCCATTTGGCTGGGAAAGTCCCGGTTAAAGCTCAAGGTCTGTTGTACTTTAGAGGTCTGCGCTGGTAGTTATCCCGCATCCTGCAACCTAGCAGTGACAGAGATGCAGCAGGGGGAGGAGTCTTTATGAAATTCAACAGGCACTTATTACAGTACCTTCTCTCGTGCCACAAGGGATCATGCAGGGACTCTGTGGAAGCAGAAGAGGATTCTCGCCTAGGATGACTCTGTCCTGGTTACCTTACACACTTCCACCTCACCTTTCCACTAACCTGGTAGGGCTAGATCTTGGCAGTTCTATGAAATGTTGAGGGCCCGTTTCTCCAGAAACCTTCCTTACCTTTGAAGAAAGCAACAGCAGCTGATAAACTAAAGGAGGGATTTCCTGGAGGTCTAGCTTAGAGAACATCCTGAGGACCTTCTCTATCACAAACTGGAGCTCTTCGGCACTCAGAGGCACATCCCTGCAGAGGAAAGACCAAGATGTCCCTCATCGTCGGCCTCTGTCCCACGGCTGCCTGTTCCAGAAGGCAGAATAAATAGCACCGTTCGTCCTAGGAGCATGGGGTGGGGGAACGGATTCTCCTCCAGAGGTGGTGGGGCTGCGCTTCCCATCAGCCCTGGCCAGTACAGGCCATAGTGGTGAATGATGGGAGATGAAGTCCTACAACATTTAGAGAGAGGGCCATGCACCTCCCATTCCAGAACTACAGAAAGCGAGAAGTGGGTCACCCTAACGAAATCTGGGGGAGAGGTCTGCCAGCTGAGGGATTCTGGGAGTTGTAGGCGGACACACCGAGAGGGAATCTATTTTTGGGGAGGCGACTCACTGGACCCTCTCTATCTCCCTGAGACAGGTGGATCCAATACTTAGTGTAAAGACCACGGCTAGTGCTTGAGGTCCTTCCAAATCGATGCAGCCTTGAATCCTTCCACTCAGAACTAACTCTACCTGCTTAAGAACCCCCTTAGTCCAGAAAAACGTCTTCCCAAGCGAAAGCCCTTCACTTATTCATTCCCTTGAGAGATGGGAAGGAAGTGACCATTCATGACAGAGGTTAGGAAATTACCTGAACATGGAGGTGAGGTGAATCACGTACTGAGGATTCCACCTGGCAAATACAAACATGAGTTGGGAAACAAAGATTTGGACTGCCGACGGAAGACACTTCCCAAGGAAGGGAAGCGCATGGGCCGGTCATAGCAAAAATGACGAAGGGTCTAGCAGAACTTTAAAAAGTGGGGAAAATGTATTATGGCACAAGGTTTTTGCAGACCTGATCAAGCAGGCAACAGGAAGCATGGCAAAGGAAAATACTAGCCCATTTGGGACTCAAGGGATGATGTTTCTTAAAACGGTTTGTTCCTTCAAGATGTTTATAAGCTACTTTTTAAATGCAGGTTTTCAACAAAGCAACACACTCTATAAAGATTTTAACCCTGCCACAGAATCTGTAGCTATAGAAACTCTGTTTCATTGCTGGGTCAAAAAGGGGATATATAAGGGGTACATTCTGTGTCTTCCCCCCCCCCACCGTTCCCAAGACACAAAGGCCACCTTTGCTTTACAGGATAGTCCGAACGTGAGGAACCAGTGGAAGAGAGATAGGATGCAACATGTAACAGCACAAAAGATGGTGAAGAACCAGAGGAAACAATACTGTAAAAATCAATGACAACCTAAAGGTTTTTCCAGGAAGAAAAAATAGGATTATATCTCCTTGTACAGCCTTTTGCTTCACTCAGATGACTGGCGTTCTCTCTCTCTCTCTCTCTCTCTTACTCAGATGACTGGCATTCTCTCTCTCTCAGCATGAAATGGTCGCCCTGATCCCCAAAGCCAGTGAGGCTTTTAATTCTGGTGTTGCCAGATTCTCATGCCCATATAAAAAAAGTGCCCCTGTGTTTCATTAAAGCCACAGTCATTTTCCCAGCCGCTCCTCTGCACTGTCTTGCTTTTAACTCTGCTGGCAAGATATGTACAAAACGGCAAGTAACAGAGCATATGGATATGGGAAAACGGAAGGGCTCTACAATTCAAGGGAAATCGTTTTCCTTATCTTCTAGCACAAAAGAGTGAGGCTTTTCTTTCCAGTAAGGCTGATGGGGAGAGGAAGAGGTGGGGAATAAAGTCGTGAAGTCGAGAGGCAAAACTTTCTTTAACGAGATGATTAAGGTTTCCCGTCCTAACCACTACTAGGGCTTGTATTTTATTACATGTCGTACGATCCCGACTCGTACCGTTTTATAATAGGAGGAAATGGCAGAAGGAAAGAAAAAGTGGGGGACATTCGTGTTCCAAGGTGCCTAAAGAGACTCTGAAGATTAGCAGGTGGTTAAAAAGCTTGCAGGAAACTGTTGCCTTCTTGCCTGCCTTCAAGGAAGGAAATAAAACTGATCAAAACGTGGCCAAGGCGTGCTTACCTGCTGGAGCACAGCGTATTGATCAGCTGCTTCTTAAACTCTTCCCCGCTCAGCTCACCTGAGGCAAGGAAACAGGACAGAGACTCCTGAGAGAGGCTGCTAATCAATGGAGCAGGAAGGCAAGCAAGAAAGCGTAAGGGGGCTTACCTGTACCATAAACCAGGGTTTCTTTGGATGTAGCTAGTGCCGTCAGCACAGTAGGAAAGAGCTCCAGAGATTTGCCACTGAGCAGGCTGCCTCCTTTGACCGCTTCGACAAACAAAGCGGCCAAATCCCCCAGCGAAGGGCCCGGCAGTTTGTGAGCCTGACCCATGAGAGACAAAAGAGAAGGACACATAGTGAACTAAGGAAGTGAACAATGAAAACAAATAATACATGGCTGCTTTGGGTCCTCTTAAGGAGAAAAGCAGGGCAAATATGCTTTAAGTAAATAAATAATAAAAATGACTACTACAAATTGCTTTAAAATTACTCCTTGTCTCCACCCCTTCTCCAGGAGAAAATAGGAAGCACCATCCTCACCCTTCCGTGGCCCATCAGCCAAAGACGCTGGAGACCTGGGGTGTTCAAACTACCCCAAGGGTACAAACCACATTTAATGGCGTCCTATCTGCGCATCGGCACGAGGGCCATGCTGTCTTCACAGAACCACTAACCCTTTTTTAAGGACTCTGCTCCTGGAGCTTGCACACCAAATGTCAGGTGATTTTTCGCCCACACTCTGAACTGGAGAGACAATAACTCTCTGAAGTGCAGCAGTAACACCACTAGGCAGCACAGCCCAACGGACAAGCCATTCTGGATGAAGTTCCCCCCTTTAACATAGCTATCAAAGACACAGGACCCAATCATCTTTTCTACTCTTCATCCATAAGGCAGCGTGTTCACATCCTAAAACAGACAGGCTAAATCTGATTTTAGTCCCAATTAGGGCGAACCCATTGAAATGAGCAAGACTCATCCATCAACAATAAAGTTTGTATTTAACTGCACTTTCAGATTCATATACTGATTTATTGTGTAGTGTGACATCTTGAGTCCCTTCATTGGGACACAGTTGAGAGATAAATAAAGCAAATAATCAGTATATTTACTATCTGATCTGTTTCAGATCTTCTCCAGCTGAGACTAAAGTGAGATTTAGCCCGACGCTTCCACCACCAATGAAATTAAGTTTTAATAGGTAGCACACCTTTTTATAACTTAATATACACATGTAGGAAATGATTCGCGATACTGCTCACGTGGTGGCCAATGACCCTTTTATAACATAATAAGCACATGTAGGAAATTCGCGATACTGCTCACGTGGTGGCCAATTAAAGAATATGAAGTTGGAACTCAGCTGCAAAAGGGAACCACCTTTCCCCTCCGACGTAGCAAGCCCTAGAGAGACGAATCGTAACAAATCCAGTCCTACCTCTATCATCAGCAGCCTTATGATCTCAGAGGCCACGTCCACGTGCAGGTCTCCGGACTCCACCAACTGGAGGCAATGCTTGTAAACTTGAAGCCTCCTCGTGACACCACTCGGTTGGGAGCAAGGAGAACCTAGTGCGGAGAGCAAAGGGCCCTTCAGCCACAAAACCAATCTTTTGAACAAACATTTCAAGATCATTCTTGGGTGACTTCACCCACTCTTCTGTTGAAGATGATGCACTTCTTTTTTTTCTCCCCTGACCTCTGGTCAGCAAGCCTCACTCTTAGCTTCTATGCAATTTTAACAATTTAGATATTCTACTCAAGTGAAGAGCTGAAGCATCCCTTTATCAGCCGAAATGAGTCCAATTAAAACACCCTTTTAACTCCATATTTGGTTGGTCAAGAAGCATCAACAGCCCACAAAGACAGGAAGACCCTCTCCTGAGACCCAACAATTTTACCTGGGCACTTACCGTGTTTCCCCATAAATAAAACAGGGTCTTATATTAATTTCTGCTCCAAAGAAAACTATTAGGGCTTATTTCCAGGGCGTGTTTTATTTTTATTTTTTTTCATGTACAACCATCTACATTGATTCAAATACAGTCCCATCAACTTCTTCTGGTTGCTGTACAAGGGTGGAGGTTAGGGTTTCACTGAACTGGGCCTTATTTTGGAGGGATTCACTGAACTGGGCCTTATTTTGGGGGTAGAGCATCCCGAAAAATCATATTAGGGCTTATTTTCAGGCAAGGTCTTATTTTCAGGGAAAACAGGATACTTTATAGAGATAACATCTTTAAACAACCAAGAGAGGTACAAAAACATCTGCATTATTTAGCGTATTTGTTCAAGACACAAGTCTTGTACTGTATATCCAATTCCTATCTAGGTAATTAGGCTAGAATGCTGATGAAGAATCTGCAGCCGTCACTGGCCACTGCTTCATACCTTTGAAGAGGGCCCTCAAAAGGGCTCCAGTCTCCTTCCCCTTCAGAGCCTGCTTGGTGACTAAGTCACTCAACTGCAGCAAGAAAAGAAGAGAGAATGGCACACTTTTATTTGTCCTTGTGATACACCTTTGCAATTGATTATAAGAGAAAGGTTATGTCCCCAGCTGAATGTCTACACCATCTCAACAGCAGATACATTTACTTGGCCCTTAGTTATCCTCCATTGCATACCGATCCACAAAAACGTTTACTAAGCCACTTCTATTTACCCTCCTAAAATAGAATTTTGTGAATTTTGTTGTATGGGTATACTGTGTATATACTTACAATGACAATAAATTATTATTATTATTAAAAGCTGTCCTAAAAACGCAAAACTCATTGTTCAACAAAGCTTTTACGTCTCCTTCCCTAGGGGTGGGAAATCACCTCAGCAGCTCACCTCCTTTTCTGTCAGATTTTGCAGGCATGACTGAAGCTGTTCTGATCTTTCATCCCTGGCAAGCTCTAGGATTTTCTGGTCCATTGTTAAGAGACCTGGAAGAAATAATTTTTAATTCTTTTTTTATTAATATCATCAAACACACACACACACACATTATGCTAACAGAAATATAAACTGGACCTGCCGCTTCCCACCTCCTTCCCCTCCTCTCCCTCTGGAGTTCATTGGGCCAGTCTATCCTTCTCTCCGACAAAAGTCTACCCTGCAGGGTTCTTGCGAAGATAAACTTAAAGAGTCGGGAAGCTCAGCCGTCCCCATCCCGCCCCTCTGTTTATCGTCACAAGAAACCTGCAGGGAGGGTTGACTCTGGTCAGAGAAAACGAGACCAACCCTTAATTTGCTTTACACACATGCACTCATGCACATGAACACACACACACATACACACATATACATATATACACACACACAAGTGTGTGGTGTGTATCCATATGTATACATATATATGGCATTTAAGTATATTACATACACACACACACACGTGTGTGGTGTGTATACATATATATGGCATTTAAGTATATGTGTGTGTATTTATATGCAAGTGCATAAGTAGATACAGATATATAGATATACACATAGTTGCATACAGCAAATATATGTGTATATGAATGCGCATATATATGCCTCTGCATAAAACACACACACACACACACACACACACACACACCAGGTAGAGCTCTTCAGGGGAAAAGCAGGAGGTTATGCCATGAAGCAAATTGCAGGCACTCTGTCCATGCCCAGAGGCCCTCTTTGCCCCCCCTTTCTCTACCCCCCCCACCAATACCATCACACATTCCCTTGATGTTACCTGTGTCCGCTGCTAGCTGCATCTGAGAGCCCCCCCGTGACCTCTCTCCCTATTGGCTAGCCACCAAACGACCCCCGCCTCCCACCTCGGGGTGCCTCAGGCGGCTTTTTTTTTCTGGCCGTCGCCCCCACCCCCAGCACCGAATCTCCCGCCAGGAAGTTCCCCGGGGTTGCCCGGAGCAACAGAGCCCGCCTACCCCTCTCCTTCCGGCTTCCGTTTCCCTAGGCAACCGGCACCTCGTCGTCGCAGGGCAGCCTGAGGTTAAGGGTGGCTTCTTCCTCGGCGAGGCCCCTTTGGCTTCCGGGCGCTGCGGTGGCGCGTTCTGTAGGGCGCCTGGACCGCTAGTTGAGAAGCGCGGGGTTCGAGTCCCCCCCATGTGTCTTTCTCTCCAAATCAACGGGGATAAAAAATAGGCTGTTTGTGTAGCTCCTGCTTCTGGGTGGCATTGCCAGCTTGCCTGTTAACACAAAGAGGTTGCATGGCATCCAAACCAGGGTGCAAGAATGTTGTTGTTGAATCCCTTTGAAACACAATCACTGCAAGGTCCTTCAGCCAGGAAGCCCTTCTCCTTCCTGCAGTTTTTTCCCCATCCATTTCTTCTTGCAGGATCAGCCGTGACACAAGATGCACTTACTCATTTCCATGACAGGAGGGTGGTATCCCAACTTTGATTTGGTTTATCATTTCTTGATCTTGATTCCTTGGCCTTAATGTTTCTTCCACGACCATCCTCTCAGCCACCAAAATCCATAATCTCCTGAAATAAATCCATATTTGAAATGCCTTGGTCTCCTCTCTTGTTGCACAGTGGTCTGCGTTAAGGTCTACCATTCAGTGCCATACAATTGGAGCAAGAACACATCACACCAGACAAGGGCTGTGTCATCGGCATCATCTCCCACCAAACCTCCCCATTTCTTGAAAATTCTGCAGTACATTGTTTTAAAGAAAAGCTAACATTGACTCTTCTACATTCATCCCACGTTCTGACATTTCCCTTTTTGGGCAAAGGAAAGAAAGGCCGATCCCTTTTAATTCAGAATTTTGTTTCGACTCAAGAGATCACACAGCTGGCATTTTTTTCCTTTCTTTTTTTCTAGTTCCTCATTAAAGGGTTGTTTTAACAGAAGAATCTGGATTTCCACGGCTCACACAACCACATTGGAATCAACGGCCTGAACAGATAAATAAAACCTAAATCCAACTACGTGACGCTATGAAGCATTAACTTTCAGCTACTTGGAGATGCTGAAAAGAATCGGGCGGTTAACTAACGAACCTTCGCATGTCCTTTTCTGCCTAGAAATATTTTCTCACGCCTTTCATATTCGTTTACAGTAGAATGGCCGTTTGGCCCCTAGAGATGAACAGTTTCAGCGGAAGACAAAAGGAAACGGTTACCCTTTGAAACTCCAAACTTGGACCTTGCTTTCCAAATAAACCTGTTAGTGCTCTGAAAGTATCCACAACCATTTTGTTTTGTTTTCCATTATATTTCTCTGAAACAGAGGGTGGGCAAAGCGCGCCTTCGGCCCTTATACGAAACACACCTAATTTTTAAAAGCCCAAATGGCTCATGGGATATTGGGGGTGGGGGGTGGAGGGCAGGCGCACCTTTCCAAGGGGTGTGGATGAGACCCTCCTGGGAATCCAGCCCTGTTTCTTTTTTAGAAATGTAACTTTAATGTAACTTTTTAGAAATGCATCTATCTATCTATCTATCTATCTATCTATCTATCTATCTATCTATCTATCTATCTATCTATCTATCTATCTATCTATCTATCTATCTATCTATCGTTGCATTTATAAAAAGTTACATGAAAGTTACATTTCTAAAGTTACATTTAGATATGTAACTTTAATGTAACTTTTTAGAAATGTAACTATAGATAGATAGATAGATAGATAGATAGATAGATAGATAGATAGATAGATAGATAGATAGATAGATAGATAGATAGATAGAGAAATGTAACTATATAGATATAGATAAATACAGTATATTGCAATGGCAAGTAACTATCACCATCTTGGCTGGCTTTGCCTCTGTCGTCACGATCCAGGGAACTCGGCTGCTGTGGCTTTGACCTCATCCGACTTCGCTTTGCAGAACCATTTTCATCCATGTTTTCAAACATGTCATTTACATAACATTCGCCCCAATTGTTCGGGTCCCATCCATCCCTTGAGGGATGCTTCCCCCCCCCCCTTTGCACTCGAACAGAGAGCCCATTCATCCGTTGCCAAGATCTGGACCCTATTATTCTCTCCCCCACTCCTGCCCCTCTATCACCACCCCGTGCAGGGCAGCGTTTTCTCTCCTGGGGCCTTTTCCCCCCTCAAACGTGTGGCCTGGATCAGGCGGTACAAACCCCCGTGAGCGCCCGGCGACAAGGCGAAGCCTTTGTTCCGTGAGGCGATTGGAAAACCCGAATTTAGGAAGCAGGGATTAACCTACGTGACCTCCCCTTGTTGCAAACCCACCGGCTTATTTTTGGCCTCTTCGGCAAGAGCTGGGGCTTTTGGTCAACGGGTGCCAACCTCGGACGTGGGTTGCTCCTGAGAAAACGAGTGTTGGGCCTTCTTTCTTGAAAACATCTGTATTTGCCATTGGGGTCATCCTCCCTCTGTGTCCGGTATTGAGGCCATGAGAGCTTAGGGGGCTAAAACAGCATTACCCGCGTCCAGAAGAGCCGTATCAGGAGAACGTGGACCCTTATTTATTTTATTAATTCATTCATTGATTGATTTAATTCCTATCCTTTCCCATGAATGCAAAGGCACTATTCTCAGCCGTTTTAAAGTATGGTGCATCTTGGGAAAAGGGGAACCCTAGAAGGACACGTGGCCAAACTGTACCCCACACCCCACACTGTGCATGGATGCAGAAGGTAGACTGACAGATACAGGGGGGATTGGAAAGCCAGCTGTGTGGAAGGAGATCTGTAGAAGGTGATGATCACGCACCCCTTTTTCCAATTTTTTTGGCTTTTTCTGGACCCGACGTAAGAGGCGGGGAGAGAGGGGGTGAAAATCCAGCAATCCCTCAGAACCAACAATGTTGCCCAGTTTAGTCCGTGCCAAAGAGTATTCCCATTGAACGCTAGAGACCTGCTTTTAAGTAGACATGGTTAGATGGGCTTTCAAGGACCAGCAACTGGTGTAGAACCATAAAATCATGGAGTGAGAAGGGGCCTCAAAGGCCATCCAGCCCAACCCTCTGCTCGAGGCAGGAATCCCAACCCAAACAGATCAGGCCGAGGGTGGGCCCATTTTCTCTTGAAGGCCTCCAGCGATGGAGCGCTCACCACCTCCTGAGATCCGGGGCCTCAAAGGCCATCCAGTCCAATCCCCTGCTCGAGGCAGGAATCCCAACCCAAGCAGATCGGGCTGAGGGTGGTCCCATTTTCTCTTGAGTGCCTCCAGCGATGGAGCGCTCCCCACCTCCCGAGGTCATGGGTTCCGTTGTCGTACCGCTCCAACAGTTAAGAAGTGCTTTCTGATATTCCGCCTAAATCTGGCTTCCTGTACCTGGAGTCCATTCTTACATGTCCTGCACTCCGGGATGACGGAGGACAGACTCTGCCCTTCCTCTGGATGACATTTAAAGGATTAGAAGAGGACTATCCTATCTCCCCTCCGTCATGCATGCTGCGGATGATGGGGAGTTTAGTCTGAAACAACTGATGGGTGTGGAGCATCGATTGGAAGAGAAACATCTATCCGCATTGCACGGGAGACTCCGCTCGTGGGATCTGCACGCCCACCTCTCCGCCTCCCGTCCGGGCGTTGTTGGCCTCTCCGGCCGGTCCTTCAGGGCCCTTTTTGGGATCAAGACATGGATGGAAACGGTCCTTGCCGGAGAGGTGTTTTTTGTTTGTTTGTTTGTGGTGTGGAGCATCGATTGGAAGAGAAACATCTATCCGCATTGCACGGGAGACTCCGCTCGTGGGATCTGCACGCCCACCTCTCCGCCTCCCGTCCGGGCGTTGTTGGCCTCTCCGGCCGGTCCTTCAGGGCCCTTTTTGGGATCAAGACATGGATGGAAACGGTCCTTGCCGGAGAGGTGTTTTTTGTTTGTTTGTTTGTTTTGTTTTGTAGCCGGTACTTCAGGGCTCTTTTTGGGATCAAGACTTGGATGGAAACTGTCCTTGACGGAGAGGTTTTTTTTTTTGTGGCCTTCAACTCCCACCACCCTAACCGGTGGTGACGACCGGTGGCCTTCGTCTCCCACCACCCTAACCGGTGGTGACGACCGGAGGTGGTGACGACCGGAGAGAGACTTTGGTCCAAAATCACCCAGAGGGATACAAACGTCCCGTCCACCCGAGCAAGGATGGGGGGTCCTTCCAACCAAAGAGGCTGCTTCTTCTTGTCCTTAGAATGGAGGTCTCTCCAACCTTCTGCAGCCGATGGATCTGGCAGTCATTCCCTTTCATGCTTAATATCACCGTGGCTTTGTGAAGGCCAAATACTTGTGCAAGGCACAAACGATGGTGATTTTTTCCCCCTAGGCTAATTCTGGAACAGGCGAGCACAAAAACAAATAGAGGGTTGGATTCCAAAATACCACGGTGGCTTTTGGCTGAACCCGATCCGTGCCTTCCCCCCCAGAGCACCGCTGACAATTCATCTCCCTCGTTCTCTTTTAATCGCTTTCTCTCATCACTTCCCACCCATCGCTCCGGTGCCATGTTATCTGGGATCCTTTAAATCTCAGCACAGCTCTTGCAAAACATGCCTTGCGTCAGCTTGGTGCCCAGTGGCGCCATCCATTTACCCGCAGGGCCCTCACGAGCACCGTTCAGGACACCGGCTCCCAACCTTGGATCACCCAAGTGTCCTTGGAGTGCAACTCCCAGAAGCCTTTGCCACCAACCGGGGGGGGGTTTCGGGGAGCAGCAGTCCAAGAACACCTGGATTACCTGAGGTTGGGAACCTCTGCTTTAGACCGCCGTTCTCACTAAACTGGAGAGGAAAAGGAGCAAGCTGGTGCTCTCCAGAGGCTTTGACCTTCAAGTCCCATCATCCTCGGCCACCAGATTGCCTCCTTTTCCTAAAAGGCCATGGTCTTGCAGTGACCATTGGTGGCCACCACCCTCTTTAACTGGGCCCAATCAACTTATTCTTTGGGATGAATAGTCCCCAAATTCTTCCTTTCACCTCTAAAGAGTGGTTTTCCAGCATCGCCAGGTCTTATCTGAAGTCCTCCGCCACTACAGACCTGAATATTAAGTGGCACATGGGAGCAAGAGTTGCAATCAGAGCTGCAGCTGGGGTTTCCGGGGGCCTTTCCCAGCAATGTTGTCTATGACATGGCGGGGCTAGGAAAGTCTACCTGTCAGGACAGGTAGCAAGATTTTGGTGTCACAGGAGATTTCCTCCCTGTTCTGCTGCTTATAACTTCCTGCTAATCACGCTACCTAATAGTAAAACCGACCCTGCAGTGTGTCACTGTTTTGTCTTCTGTGCAAGCATCATGATTTCTGGTTGTTTTCCTTGCGAGTGGTCACGCTTCAGGGTTCAGCACCTCCCACGCACCTGCTCTTGTTACGATCTCTCCAACCCAGAGCCTTGCAGAAGGGTGGCACTACAAGGCCCATCATCTCTGGGCAGGAGGCAGAAGGTGGGTCTTGTAATCCAGCCCATCGGAAGAGCCCCACGTTGAGGAAGGCTGCTCTGGAAATCACATCGAAGACTTGATTGCATGTAGAATGTCAGGCACCGGGTGACTTTCTTAAATGTAATTTTGAAATGAAAAATTTAACTAGCTTGTTGAACACACACACACACAGAGAGAGAGAGAGAGACTTTGGTTCCTGCCGCAGGCAATTCTTATTGTGCATGTAGAAAATAATTTTCTCAAATAAAGGATGGATCAAAGCAACAGTTCTCTCCGAATTAACCAAAGAATAGCATAACACTTGATGATTTCCTGCTTTGAATGATCTCTAAAATGCCTTAAAATTAAAAAGCAAGTTTTGAAAGGACCTCGTATCAAACATTGCATATTATACCCAAATTTTGCAACCCTCCTCATGGCCTCTGTAACACTGTGCCCAGAACAGGGGCTGAGAGGCTCACAGAGTTCTACCACTGGGAGTTTTTGATTAATTCGGACAGTCGTATTTTCGGCACCCCTTCACCGAGACCTACGTGTCCCCTCTGATCTTAATGCCAGTGGCCTTAGGACTTGGAGTGGGGCGGATTTCCCCAATAACAAAAGTTATCCCTGTTATAACGCAGAATACGTACCTCTGTGGGGTTGGGGAGGGCTGAGTGTGGGATGGGTAATGAAGGGCCACTGGCCTTACAAAAGACCTGCTCTGGACCCCAACGGAATTGGTGTGGATTAACACAACTTCGTGCATTTTTGATCTTTCCTGAGGGTGTGGGAGAGGGTGGGTTACGGAGGATTGCCAGGATGAGTGCCTGTGCCATAGGAAACGGTCCAGGAGACCATGCTCCGGATGCTGTCGGCCTCCTTCTCCCCTCGTCCTTGCAAACGGGCAATGCCGGAGGCTGGATCTCGCTCTTCAGGCATCCCGCGCATGTGCTGGACCACAACGGCCACTGCCCCCCCACCACAAATGAAACGGCAACCTCCCTCCCCCCAAATCTTCCATCCCATCCTGTACATTGCACTAATGAGTGTGGCCCGCTTACACAATAAGCAGCTTTTATACTTGGCTAATCGGCCCCAGCATCCCGCCGGGCCTCCCCGCCATGCGCTTCTGTGCGCCAAGGCCGCTTGCGAGCTCTCGGTCTCTCAACCCCCTCCCTTTCTCTCTCTCTGTCTCATCCCCCCCCAATCTGCTCTTTCCTAATTTTTTAATGGGGTCCCTCGCCTGGTTTGCGCTGACCTAATTAAAAAGCTGTTTTGAGCAATAGCCTTGTGATGGTCATAATCCCAACCCGGTGACTCTACAAAGCTTTCGCCCGGCGTTTCTGGACATTCTGCTCTGGCCTTTTCGTCGCTCCTTCGCTCGCCTTCGTGAGTCGGAGTCTTTTCGGTGCACCTGAGATCCTTCAAGGATTCCTCATTGATCTTCCTCGACGTCTCTGGGTGAGCATGAGAAATTATTGCTTTCAGTCCAGGATTCTCCTTGGCCACATGGTTTCCTCCACCCTTACGATGACAGGGGAACCACTTCATCCTTTGGGGACCATCCCTCCAAATTTAATGTTTTTCCACCCTCTTCCGAGCACTAAAATTTACAAAATTCTCTTTAGCCTAGCCAGTCTTTCTTTGGCCCACCTGGCTTAGCCTTGTCCCCTCTGACAAAACGGATGAAGCATCCCGTTGCTTTCGTCCCCGTCTTGATTTCCCTCCCCCAACAGTTTGCTTTAATTTATTTCCACTTTTCCTAGCAAGGCAGAAAACCTTCCCCACTTCTGAAAAATTACACCCTGCACATGAAATGTCTGCCTAATCGGATGCAGGTTTCTGGAAATGTTTTGATTTCTAACCCTCTTGATGATTTCCTAAACTCTGCATCTATCAAAGTGTTTTGTGCCCCCTTTGGAAATGTGTGTTTCGTTTCAGTCGTGCAGCAATATCTCAAAGGCTATCCAAAAAAGGATCCTAGGTTTTGTGCTTGGCTGGTCCGGTTAGAACTTGGAGACACATTTTACAGAAAATTTCAAAGAGCCAGCTGTCCAAGTGGCTCAAGGCAGCTTCTTCTGCTCTTTAACGTATGCTCTCCGAAAAAAGGGACAATCCCACCTATAAGTGAAAACTAAGGAATTGGGAGGCTTAGCAAAAAAAAGTTTCCATATACAGCTGAGCATGTATGTAGTACTAATTGCATGTGCACTGCTAAAATATCTATTTTTTAAAAAAGCATCTCTGGTCTCTTACTTATTGGACAGGGGAAGAGTGAATTTTCCAAGGTATATATGCAGAATTAAAAAGCTTGACTCTGTTCCGTATGGACAGTTGGAGCATTTGCATGAATGCCTATTTCATTTTCTGATTGGTCGTCTCGGGAGCAAACAGGCGCTTTGTTTGCAAAGCGTGACTGCTCAGGCATGACGGCCTGCCAGAGGCACATCTGGGGAACACTGGCATAAATAACAATAAAATAAATAATACACAGTCAGACTGCCAGGAGCGATAGAGTTTGGATAGCTGGATTAATCAGGGACAGATGGATAGACAGATAAATGATGTTGGTCAATCAATAGAGAGACAGATAGACACAAAAAAAGTCTTGATTTTTCATGATTTTTACTCAAAGAGTGACACATCAGTTAAAAGCTTCCCATCACGAAACACAGACAACCAAAACAAGCTGAACACTAATGCAATCTCACAGTTCGAAGCGAGGTTGGAAGATCAAAGAATAATCAAGTAAAAATGGAGGCTATTTGGATACAAGACAAATTTTCTGTGACTGTGGAGAAATTCAATCAAGGCAGCCCTTGAATGCACACAATGTATGTCTGTATAAAAATAAAATTTAAAAAAAAAGATCTAGCAAATGGCCAAGATAGCACTATTGAAGTAGCCCACTTCTGGTCACAAAAAAATCCAATTATAATAAACATTTCCAATTATAATAAACATTTTAATTGGTTTTTAGTTTTTGTTATTATTCATATATGTACATAATTGTATATTGCACAACACTCTGGGAAGGAAGGAAGGAAGGAAAAGATAGAAAGCTAGAAGGAAGGAATCCTATACTTACAGAGTACTTTTTCACCTTATGCCTAGAAGGAAGGATACTTACAGAGTACTTTTTCACCTTATGCATTGTTTACATCTGGGAGAAACCTCCAGTAGCGTGTAATCTGTCTGCAGAAACTCGGTTCTTAGAATTTGTTGATCTTTGGCCACAGATCTGTGACCAGTGAGAAAGCAACCTCTAGATCCTTGATTAAGAAAACAAACCAGCTTGCCCGAAGTTATTTCCTGCCATTGACAAAAGAACCTGTCAATTTTGCTTTACTCCCAGTTGGAATGTTTAATATTTGGAGAATGTTTTCATCTCAAGAATGGATACATTTGCAAAACAATAAATAAAACCAGAAATAAATGGTACATACTTACACAAACAGAAATCAAGCAAAACACTCGTACACCCAAGCTGGGAAAATTCAATCGCTCTCATTCTCCCCGGTGTGGAGAGGGTTAGATTTGGCTGGCCGGACAGCCTGTTTAGTGGTTAAAGATGTGGGGGAGCTCCATTTTATGAGTGTTGCAAGAGTTCTCGCTGGTGCTGTACATGACCTGGGAAATTATGACTTGGTCTTTTTTTATAGGTGAAAACAAAATAAAAAATAAAAAATAAAAAATAAAAAAAGTGAGGCAAAAAATGGTGGCATCTTTAAAATTAACTTGGGTTTGGTTTTTTTGGGGGGGGGTACTGTGCATGTCTGCTAATCAGATACGACAGAAGAGAAAGGAAGGTGGAAGGAGTGTGCTTTTACACGACTGTTCGCCACTAGTGCTCCAGTGCAAAGTAATCCAATATACTTTGGACTAGTAGCGGTGGAAGGTGAGGGAGCCGATCCATTTCACACACACTCCCCACTTCCCCTTACGCTGGAAGCTATGCTGAGATCTGTCCTTTGGGATGCCACACCTCATGCTATGGGTTCACTTCTGCCTCTCCCTCTTTTCTTTCAGTGGCCGCGTGGACTAGGGAAAAAGAAAAACATGTCTTCTGTGGTGAGTTCGAATCCTGCTCTGTTCTGTCTGCTCCTTTCTGGGAGGTGGTTCTCGTCGCAGATGAGCTGTTGGAGGCCTTTTAGGACGGCTGCGGTGGTCCTCTGCTCCCAGCAGAACTTTGGGCTGGGCCATCGTTGCCTTTCAGCCTGCCTCACCTCTCCGGGGGGGGGGGGGTGTTGAAAAATTACTCCAGGATCACTTCACCTGTAACTCTTAGGCTTGCTGTCTCTCTCTCTCTAGATGGCTCCACAAGGACTCTCTCTTCTCTGTCGCTCCTCCTTTTAATTAATTTTTTCTGATGTGGAGATCATGGGCCCGTTGTACCTTCAGACCCCAATGGGGCGGGGTGGGGTGGAGCATCAGCACCATAACTCCCGAACCTTCTTTTTGATCCAGGTCCTGCCAGCTTTGGCACAAAGCCGGTAACCCAAAACTCTCCTGGTTTGCCCCCTTTTTCTTCCTTTTCAGTGACATCACCCCAGTGACATCATGATGATCTGCCTCCCGGTGTTAGAGTTTGCCTTTGATATCTCTGGGAAAGGGGTGCTACTGACTTGGTATCCCAGATACATTATTACTTGCCTTTTTTAAAATGCTGACTAAACAGCCACCTCTCTGCATCTTTTTGGTGATGCTTTACACCACCACCCCTTTCTTGGGGGACAGGTGGGGACAGGGGCCACCCTTGTCAAGTGTCTCATGTTGCAATCCACAAGAATCTGAACCGGGGGCCAAGAAGGGCATAGCTTTCAAATCTTGGCTTAGTCGTAAGTCTTTTTGTGGCATTAAGAAAAGGGTGCAGCCCGCCACCCTTGGAGGCGAATTTGGTTCAGACAGCACCTTCTCCCTTGAAACACTCAGCCTGTGGAACTCCCTGCCACAGTGACCTGGTCTCTCCCATTGTTTAGTGGAGAGCGGATGGGCTGAAACACCCTGATCAAGCCTGCAATGTGTCTCAAAATGAAAGTTCTGAAAATGGTGCTTCCCTGAAACTCCGGGCAGTTATGGTCCATCCGTTTTGTAGGCCAGGAGTGGGGAAATGTGATATTCCAGATACTACTGGCTTTAAATCCCCTCCCCGTGTCACTATTATGGGCTTTGCTGCTTAGGAAAGAATAGGCCAGCAACATCCAGAGGGCCAAATCTTGCCGACTACGTTTTAGACTTCTGTTGAAAATGTATGTGCTTTTTGCAAGCCTTTCCTTGTTTAATCTGTAGATTAACCTTAGGTCTAGATGGGCGGGATAGAAACCCAATAATTCCAGATGCTACTGGCTTTAAATCCCCTCTCCGTGTCACTATTATGGACTGTGCTGCTTAGGAAAGAATGGCAGCCACCGGCCAGCAACATCCAGAGGGCCAAAACTTGCCGGCTCCATTTTAGACTCCTGTTGAAAACATATGTGCTTTTTGCAAGCCTTTCTTGTTTAATCCGTAGATTAACCTTAGTTCTAGATGGGTAGGATAGAAATACAATAAATCTAATAAAAATAAATAATCCAACTTTCTGTCTTCACCCTTAACCACATCATTCTCGCCTTTGAATCGTGCATGTGGCATTGACAGTATGTTTTGCTCGGCGTGTAAATCTTCTGACCCCAGCAGTTTATAAACATGCCTAAACCCAAAAAGCCAGGCAGGACCTCATCTTCTTGTGTGGTTTTCGTTCCCAAGACCGGCACGTTCAGGATAGTCTCCGAGGAGGAGCAGGCCCTGCGGGCCAAACTGGAGCGGCTGACCACCAAGGACCACGGACCGGTCTTCGGGAAGAGCGAAAAGGTCCCGGCGCACACCATGCAAAAGGTGAGCCTCAGCGGGGAGGGCGGACCCGCGCCAAAAAGACCACTTTGAGGGCTTGAGATGAACTTAGACAATCTATTGCTGGTTAAAAGTAATTGCAGACAAGAAGGGGGCTCTGGAGATAAAACGAAGTCCAAAAATCCATAGGTGGGAATATCTTAATGACGATCAGACTCTCAATGCAGAATGCTGGCCTCTTTTGAGCATCCACTCTGGGGCTCTGAAAAAAATGTCATTTCCCACCTGTGGAAGATAAAGTAACAGGTAAAGGGGCTTTAAAAGTAACTTTCCAAGCAGCTTGGATGTTAAAGGCAAGTTCCTGCCTCTTTGTAAATGACATTGCATGTTGGTTTCAAGCTTCAGCTGGCCATTTGAAACTGATGGCCCATCTCTTCAAACCAAAATCAGTCCCAGGCCATCTGCCTGTCCCCCCCACCACCAACAGGAACAGTCAATTTAAGCCAGATTAAAACCAAATAAATAGTTTTACCTGGCGGATGCTCTCTTTACCATGTGGGATTGCTTGTCTGAGGTCAAGAGGCTTAAGTGGACTGTTCTTTTCCCCTTCTGAGCCACAGAGAAATACGTCTGGGAAATATGACCTTAAATATCTTCCACTTAAACATATTCCTCACCTCTATGCTCTCTGGGGTATGTGTTTTCCCCAAAGGCAAGGGAGGGAGTATATACCCCTCTGGGAATTTAATGGACTATAAGTCCCTTTAGCCACGGCCAACATAGCCAAGGATGTGCCATCATGCCATGACAGCCAGAGACTTCTTGGGCTTTCACAGGAGTGGCTGATCCATTCGGCACCTTTGTTCCGACTTTCCAAAGGCAATCGCGAAGTTGCTGAACTCTGTGCCCCAAACCGGGTTCAGCACCATGGATAGCGTATCTGGCCTGGAATGGACTGAAAACGTCTATGGGGTCAGAGCCACGTCCACAAGAAAGGTTCCTACATCAGCCTTGAGGTGTTGCTCCCTAGATGCAATGGTTCTCAGCCTGGGATCCCCAGATGTTCCTGGACTGCAATTCCCAGAAGCCTTCACCACTCACTGTGCTGGCCAGGAATTCTGGGAGTGGTAGTCCAAGAACATCTGGGGACCCCGGGTTGAGAACCACTGATCTAGCAACATGTATGGACAAACTTCTATCCCTGTAAGAAGTAGGAGCGTAGCCCCCAATATCTCACCTGCTGTCATGTCCCATAAATCCCATGGGTCATCCCACACAACTGGACTTTGGTCTCATCCAACTGGGCTCCCTGTATTGGCTTCTTTTGGAGGTCTTGGAAGGTAACCATTCAAATCCCAGTTTGCCTAGAATACAGGGAAGGTGATACTGTCCTGTTCCAATGCCGTCCTTCACAGGCGAAGGATGAACTGAACGAGACGCCCGAGAGGCGAGAATCGGCCATCAAAGAGCTGCGGGAGATGGTCCACGAAAGAGCCAAAGGAGGCGAGGACATCTGCAAGGCAGTGGAAGAGAAAATGAAGAACAAGGATGACGCTTTTTTCCTTTGTTTCATCCGGGCCCGGAAATTCGACGTCAGCAGGGCTTACGACCTGATCAAAGGTGGGGATCCTGCATCCAGGACTACACACCATCTAAGGGTTTGTGACGCCTGCTGATCAGATTGTGTAGAATAAACCCTGGCCACATGGATGTAAGTCTGCATCTTAAATGCCCCAGGGAACTGATATGCCACCTTGGATACTGAAGCTGACACACATAGTCATCCTGGTACCCGTAATTACTAGGAAACTATCCTCCATGAAGCTACCATGCCCTCTTTTAAGGATCCCCACACTGGCAACGACCACTGGCTGTTGTGGCAGTGAGTTCCACAGTGTAACTATGCGGGGTGTGTGTATAAAAGGACTTGGATCTTTATCCTGAATGCTACATCACAGTTTCTAGTCTTAGGCCAGAAGGAGAAAAGCTTAGATCTACATCCTATCTGCCGTGCATCAATTTTTAACCCCCTCCCCACAAGTCCGTCTCCCCTCGCCTGTCTCTCTTTGATTCTAATCTCAACAGCCACCGTGTTCATTGTCTCCCACCTTTCCCCATAGGTAAGTTTTCCCACTTCTGCCCCCCTTATTTTGCTGTCACCCCCCCTTTTTGGCACCTTTACTGGGTCTTACGAATTATGGGCTGTCAAATCAATTCCCACTTACGGCCACCTTTCCTCGAATTTTCTAGGCGCACTCCAAAAATGGGTGATCAGTCTCTCCTTGGGGTGGTGCTCCGGGGCATCCTAAACAAGCATGTGGAATTTGATACAACCCTCCTCTTCTTTCACCTCCCTTTCCATTGCCAACTCAGAGGCCCCCCTCCTTATCCTAGAGAGGCCTTTTCCATACATTTGCCATGCATTTCCCGTCTCTCTGGTCAGGGGTAGAGGATTGAAGCGAGCTTTGTGTGTGTGTGTGTGTGTGTGTGTGTGTGTATGGTAATATGAAGACTGCAAACATCTTTTGTCCGTGGGTTGGCCAGTGAGAAGGCAGGAGTGGAGAGAACTGGGTCAGGACATGGGGCACAAAAGAAGCCATTGTCATTTCAGGAACGTTGTCCGCTTATACTTCAAACTGTGGGGGTGGGGGAAATCATTTGCTCCTTTTGCGCCTGGGAGCTGTTTGCCGGAGGACAGTTGAGGGAAGCCGTCAAAATAAGAAAGGGAGGACAGGGCCGTCTCCGGCGCCCGAGTCCAGGTCATTCAACCTAGCCAAGAGAATCAGAGAAGGCGGATTTAAAGCAAGGGTGCCCCATCTCTTCCTATAGGCTCACTGGCTCAATGTGAAGTTGTTCTTAACAGAGAAGGGGACTCAAGGTGCGGGACCTGCTGTCAAGCGGGACTTAAGTCGCGCCCATGACTAGACTCGGTTCAGACTTGACTTGCAACTTGGAATCCACCCACTCTTACTTGGGACTTGGTACCAAAGACGTGGACTCCGAGCTAAAGACTTCCCAAGGTCCCCAATAAAACCACTCCTTAAACATCTCACCTGCCTTGAAAGCCCTGTTAGGATTGCTATAAGTGGCTTTAAAATGGACAACACATAATAGCAACAAGTTGAGTGAGCTATTTAGGGAGTGGTTTTGCCACTCCTTAATGGACGTGGTGGCGCTGCGGGCTAAACCGCAGAAGCCTTTGTGTGCTGCAGGGTCAGAAGACCAGCAGTTGTAAGATCGAATCCATGCAACGGAGTGAGCTCCCGTCGCTTTGTCCGAGCTTCTCGCCAACCTAGCAGTTCGAAAGCATGCAAATGCGAGTAGATAAATAGGTACCACCTCGGTGGGAAGTTAACAGCGTTCCGTGTCTAGTTGTGCTGGCCACGTGACCACGGAAGATTGTCTTCTGACAAAACGCTGGCTCTATGGCTTGGAAACGGGGATGAGGACCGTCCCCTAGAGTCGGACACGGATGACTAAATGTCAAGGGGAACCTTTACCTTTACCTTTGCCAGTTCCATTTGGAATTTGGTACCAAAGACTCAGACTCAGCTTCGGGACTTGCCAGCATCCCTGGTTTTTAAGAACCACCCATTTGAAATGGGTGCCGTGTGCCCTGCACCTCCCCATTCTCTCCCGTGTCCCTGCTCCTTGGTTTTTGTTACCGTTGGTCCTTTGCCGTCCAACGTGGCTTCCCAAGGCAAGGAGTGGAGCACCAACTCTATGATTCCTGAGCCTTCTTGGTGGAGAAGCTCTTGGAGGAGAAAAGAGCCAACGTCTTCCCAACAGTTACAGGAGCTGCAGCTACATGCATGCGGGCTTGCATTTCATCCACTACGCGAACAGATTCTCATTCAGATTCTTGAATTCTTATGCAAGGTTAGATCTGGTTAGTGCTTAAACCAGCCATTTCTTGAAAAACCACGACCTTGTTTTAGAAGGATAAACCATAGCATGGGGAGAATTCTGCCTTCCATACGTACGAAAGGTCCCAAGTTCAAGGCCAAGTATCTCCAGGTAGGGCTAGGAAATCATCTTCCTTGAAAACCCCTAATAGCCATGGCTGCCAGCCAGAGTTGGCAATATTGGGTTTGATGGGACCACTTCCGAAGGTCCTAAGGTGGGAATCTTTTCTAAGGCGTTATTCTGATCTGTGAAGCAGGCTGGTAGGGGAACCTCTGACATGCGGCTGATGAGATAGAGTCCCTCTCTCTTCCCGGGCTCAGCTTCTTCTCCTCTGTCTCTCTTTCTCGAACTCCAGGCTACGTCAGCTTCCGCCAGCAGTATCCAGAGCTGTTTGAAAACCTGACGCCGGAGGCTGTGCGCAGTACTATCGAGGCTGGCTACCCGGGCATTGTGAGCAGCCGGGATAAATATGGGAGGGTGGTGTTGCTGTTCAACATCGAAAACTGGGATTATGAAGAAATCACCTTTGATGAGGTCTGTACCGTGCCTTTTGTCAAGTTTAGAGAGACCCGCAGCGTTGCCTCCCAAAGTGTATGCGTAGGGCTTGAAATATAATCAACTTCTTGTATTCTTGCATCCAGAGGCTGCCAGATGGCTGCTAGCGTTATCATTGCTGGGCATACAAAAGTAACTCATTGTGTTGCATGTTATTAACATGTCTGAAAAAAATAGAGTGATGCAGCGCCATCCCCTCTAGTGGCCAATTCTGATATTGCACTTTGAAAATACTTGCACTCATACAAAACATAACACTTTCGTTACTTAGAAATTATTCCTATCAGAAGTCTTTAAAAGTGCCTTAAATATCCTTTAGAAGTGCTTTTCAAAAGTAACTAGTTACACTAAAAAGTAACCTCTTGACATTAAGTTGCTTTCGAAATGTAGTTTAGTTACAACTAGAAAGCGGTTACTTGTAACTAGTTACTTCTATGTTTGGGCCAAGACCGGAGAGGTTCTAGACACAGTGCTGAGTTCCTCTGTCCATCTTTCTTGATCCAGATCCTCCGTGCCTACTGCGTGATCTTAGAGAAGCTGCTGGAGAACGAGGAGACCCAAATCAATGGCTTCTGTATCATTGAAAACTTCAAGGGCTTTACCATGCAGCAGGCGTCAGGCATCAAACCTTCCGAGCTGAAGAAGATGGTGGATATGCTACAGGTGAGATCTGAGCTGGCCTTTGCCTGTTCGTCTTTCTGGACGGACAAGGAAGATGGGCCTCTTTGCATTATTTCCCAGAGGAAAGCCAGTCCCACCTAGGGTAGCCACCTCTCTGTGTGGGAGCCAAGGCGGTGGTGAGTCATCAGGAGCGCTCTTGCTTGCTGGGGTGGAGAGCAAGATTATGGGCCACCCTTCCCCCCCGTACAGATCATGCCCCCCCCCCAAATTGGCTGAAATGGTGGGCTGAAGCAGCTTGATCCGTCTGGGTGGCTTGTTCCCAGAGAGAAGAGACACTTCTGTGGCCAGCTGAAAAACAAGACTAAAAACCAGCGATGGGGGCGTGAGCAGAAGGGCTGTCCCAAGAGATTCAGCTGCCTGAGCTCAAGAACACGGTGGTGCCCCCCGGCACCGGCTAAGAAAGTTGACCATGTTTTGATAGCCAGTCTCCACGGGCCATTTGAAGGCGATCCTTAAACCTCCAAGGCTTTGGGGAAGAGTTGCACTGTGGCCTGGCATCACTAGGAGGCTGATCTTGGTGCCCGCTGGGAGCGCGTGCCACATCCAGGGCACTGGGAGCAGAGAAGGTCCACGTCTCCAAGGAGTTCCTCTTTCGTGGCTCCATGGTGTGGCACGGAGGAGGACTTCTATGGTTCAACATAGCCCCTGGAGAGGCCACTTTCACAGCAGCACTTTTGTGGGGACACCAGAAAAGGCCTTCTCTGTGGCTGCTCCCAGACTGTGGAACTCCCTCCCACTAGAAGCCAGCCTGGCCCCATCCTGGCTGTCCTTCCGCAAGCAGGCCAAGAAGACCTTTCCCTTCAGCCGGGCTTTTCTTGAAAAGGCTGATGGACCAAGGAGATTTTTTTTTTTTGAATAAGGGAGCATTTTATTCTGTGTTTCACTTGTGGTTTTTTTTTCATCTTGTCCTTATTATGAGTTTTTATACGAGAGTCGCATATTGCTTTCGAAAAATATGACAATCATGGATTATTTGGATTTTCTCTTTGTTTCTTTTAAATACTAGCAAGCTGCCTTGGATCCTATGGGAGAAAGGTGGCACACAAAGGAATAAACAAACAAACAAAAATGCTCAAAGTGACCAGCTGTTTAATAGGAGGCAGTCAATAATCCTCATTAGGAAGAACATAGAGGCTTATTTTTCTGCATCCTGCACAGTTCATTCAAGGACATTGCTTGCCTTCTTGGAGACCTAAACACTGATCTTTGGATTTCCAACTCTTAGGATTCGTTCCCCGCTCGGTTCAAGGCCGTCCATTTCATCCACCAGCCCTGGTACTTCACCACGACCTACAACGTGGTCAAGCCGTTCTTGAAAAACAAGCTGCTGGAAAGGGTGAGTGACTCCGCGCACGGTGAGCTGTGAGCATAGGGAGCGTTGAAGGGCATGCATAAGAACGGGGGCGTGCCCGAAAAGATCTCTCATTCTTGCCTGATCTCCCATCATCTCAACGGTAAGGTCCAAGAGCAGTGTGGGAACCACCTCCTTTTCCCGACCGCCATTTTGATGGGCCCCATCAAAGGGAAGACAATCCACCTGCAAGGCTTCACCCACCCTAGATGGGAAAACGGTATGTCTCCACTCCAAGAAGAGGCAGAACCCCAGCACTGATTTTTAACAAAGGTAGTGGTCAACATCCAGGGTGGTATAGCGGTTTTAGAGTAACAGACTAGGACTCAGGAGACCTGAGTTTGAATCCCAGCTCAGCCACGGAAACCCAACTGGGTGTGGGTGGAACTGGTAAAACTACTCCTTAAAGAACCCAACTGGGTATGGGTGGGTGGAACTGGTAAAACCACTCCTTAAATATCTCACTTAACTTGAAGGAGAGCCTCTTGTTGCTGTTCTGTGTCGTCAAGTCGGAACCAACGTACAGCAAACTTAACAGGGAGAGCCTCTTGTTGCTTTTCTGTGTCGTCAGGTCGGAACCAACGTACAGCAAACTTAACAGGGCTTTCCAGGTAGGTGAGATATTTAAGGATTGGTTTGGCTGGGGATACTGTTTATTTATTTAGTTATTTATTTGATTTATATCCCGCCCTTTGGTCTCCGAGTCCCTATTAAAAGCAAGCTCTTTTCCCCCAGTGGAAAGGGAGGAGTTGGTGGATTCTGAGCCACGAGTTGGGTCATTGGGGAAAAAAGAAACAAATAAGTAGGGTTGTCGGTGTGGCATAAGTCGGACTTGACCGCAAGCCTCAAGACTCAAGTTCCCTTCCCTAGGTTTTACCAGCCCCACCTTATACCAACACCACCACCCCCGACTTTCCATGGCTGAGCAGGGATTTGAACCCCTGAATCGTGGTCCACCCCTCTATCCACGACATCACAACTAGTATCCTGAGAGCCCTATTAGGGCTGCTATCCGTTAGTTTCAAGTTGAAAACACATCTCTCTCTCTCTCACGCACACACCCCACATATCTGTTCAGAACTGGAAATTGTTTTTTTTTTAAAGCAATTCAGGTTTCATTTGGTGAAGGCAGTGTGTCCCTCGGAGGGTCTTTGGGCCCTCCAAAACATGGTCCACAGGGCACCGGAATCTATTCACACCTTGGTCTAAGGTAAAGATGAGATGTCACAACACGTGGCCACCCCCTCTCCCCATGTTGTCTGCTCAAGGCTTTGAGAACTCACCCCATGCAGTGATTTCTGAACCCCATGTTTTGGACAGTCTGACCGCCCTGCCCTGGAAGCGACGAGGCAGAGAAATACACCTTTGCACCCTCGTGGGAGGCTCACCCACACACCCATGCAGACGACGGGAAAACAAAGCCGAATGGGTCCGCCGATGGGCACGGCCTCAGAGGACAGATAGAAACACAATTTCTTGACTGTTTTGGGGGAGCCGGCTTATCAGCAAGGGATGCCCGGGGGAGGCACCTGTTCAACCCTTCCCTTCTCTCTTTTCCATACTCAGGTGTTCGTCCATGGTGATGAACTGGACACCTTTTACCGTGAGATCGATGCCGACATCCTGCCGGCAGATTTTGGGGGCAACCTGCCGAAATACGACGGCAAAGCTGTCGCCGAGAAGCTTTTCGGGCCCCAGATCAATGCAGAAGACACGGCCCTCTAAAAAAAATTCTTTTTTTAAAATTAAACCAACAGAAACCAAGCATCGCAGCATAGGAAAATAGGGCCAACGGCCATGGTTTCCAGTGTTCCTTTTAAATGTAGCATTCAAAACATCCGTGATCATAAACTCCAGGTGTGTGGGCGCCACACCTCTTTCTAGCCCCTTCGAGGCTTCTGACAGCGAAGCCAAGCCAAGCCCCCGAGGACTCCGATTCTCAGGAAGAACTCCGTTTATCCCCTGCTCTACCCCTGTAGAGAAACAGAAAGCAAAGCAAGTCGGAGGAGAAGCGAGGTGTGTCATAGTGACAGGACTTGGCTGTCTCGTATTCAAGTGCCTTTCTAGGTTTTCCAAGTTTGCCTTGTTGTGAAGGGTCGGCCGGAGAGTCCACCCATGACGATGTGTTCTAGGGCGCCGGTCAAGGGCTGGATTTGAAAGGTGGGTGGCAAAGTGAGAAGGAAACTGAGCATTATGTTGTAAAAGGTACAGCCGGAGTCCATTGCTCCAGCAGCTTTATACGGGGCTGTCTTCCATGTGAATACTGAGAAATAAAATACTGTTGCAACAAATCAGGAACTTTCTTTTGCTTCTGTCAGCCACTAGATGAATGATGCACGTAAGGTACAGTTGCTCGCTTGCTGTTTTAACTGTGTTTTTTCCTGCTCGCAATGGTTTATGCCTTTATCTGCAGAGCCAGAGGTTGGGAATTCGATTCCCCCACGGTGTCTCCTTGACAGGGGCTGGACTGGATGACCCCACAGAGTCCCTTCCAGCTCTGCCGTTCTAAGAGGAGGAGGATTAAAAGGCAATCCGCTGCACAGATTGCCTGAAAAATCAGCTCTGGCTGCTGCAGGCAGCACCACAAACACTAGGGGGTTTCTGAAAACATTGTCTGGATGGGCAAAAACAAGAGCATTTTTTTTAAAAAAATGTAACTTAATTCTCAGTTTCTGCCACTCATTCTGCATTCTGCCAACGTCCTGTACTTTTTCGAAGGCGTATCACCCACACACAGAGGTAGTAAAAACACCCCACTGTAAACAGCCCATGGGAGAAGAAGCAGGATTTGGATGGATGTTTCCGATTTTAATTTCTTAAAATGCCGTTTTAGCAAATGACCCAGGAATCGCTGCTTAGAAGTGTTCCAATCAAATTGTCAGATGATGCTGAGTCTGCTTCAGGGATGAGCAGAGAGGATGGGCTGAGTCTCTTGCATAATTTACAGATCAACCAAGTTTGATTTTACAATAGTTACAGTCAGATCCTCCTATCCATGGGATCAGTATCCACTGATTCACCGATCAGCTGGCTGAAAATACAGTACTAAATAACGTCCCCCAACCCCAACCCTCCCGAAATACCTATTCATATGTATTTCCAGGGCGTATTTACCAAACCTGGCCTCTAGAGAGAGCCAGAGACATTGCAATCCTCGCCTCTAGAGAGAGCCAGAGACATTGCAATGTGTATCCTTCAATACCTTTGCTTTTTTTCCCCCAGCACCTGTGGGGTTTAGGAACAGATCTCCCTATGGATGGCATGGCCCTCCTGTATCCGTCTTCTCCCCACCACCACCACCAAAAAGAAGAAATGGAAAACAGGTGCTGTAGGAAGTTTAGGGATCAACCATAATTGTATGCGTGAAAGGACAACAGACCCAGTTTTTGACATTAGGGACGTTCCTGACAGATCCACGGGCTCAAGAGGCAGCCTAGTCGGGCAAATCATCCTCCTCTCCCCACTTTTATTTTTTTGGGGGGCATCTGCCCTTTTTTTTCCATCTAGGATTCTTCCTTCATCCAACAAGACTGGCCAAATTTTCTAGCTGATGCAACCAAGGCTGAGTGTATGGGCTTTCCCCCCCCCCCACTTTGGGCTAAGACACTGAAGTGGCTGCATAACTGCACCAAAACTCTGTGGGATCTCCCCCCCCCCCCCTCCGATCCACAATGCTTCTTCTCCAACAAGGCTGCATTTTTGGTTCATCCTTTACACCAATTCCCTATGCCCTAAAATAGGCTGTTCCTTTTGGCCGGCCTTCCAAGGCCAGGAGAGCCAAAGCACAGAGATGTGCCTGAGCTAGCCGGCTGACGCAAAAGAGCCAGCGTGTGCCGATCTTTGTGACAGCCAAAGACACAGGTTCTTTCTTCACCTGTACAAAAGCCTGTTAAATACCTTCGGACCTCAGCAATCAAGACTGTAGTGATAGAATCGCTTGACCTCTTCTGTTCAAACTACCCATGCTGGAGGCACACCCCCAGATCGGCATGAACGGAAAGCAGGAAGGCTAGCTAAACAGAAACCGGTTCTCTCCTCTGTTCTGCCTCTTGTTCTGTGAAATCAGATTAATGCCCATCTCCACCCAGGTCCTCACTGCTAAATACCACGGCTGCCTGATTTGCAAAGCAAGCCGGCGAGGGGTCCCTCTTGAAATGGGCAGCGGGCAGGGGGAGGAAAGGGTCTACAAGAGGTGCATTCATTAAGGCCCTGGCTCTCATTCAAAGCAAACAGGATGCGGGGGCTGAAGCTGCAGAAAGCATGGGGCCTTTTTGGAATAGAGGCTAGCCACGCCGCCCACCTTGGGAGCACGTCACCCTTTCCAGAGATACTAAATGCTTATTGAAAGGAAGAGTGGATAGAGACGGGGCCCGGCTTTCCTGTGCCACCCTTTCTAAATGAAATTATCCCATGTTATGTCAAGGTAAGGTTAAGATTATCGTCTCTCAAAGCATTTAACAGAGAGCTGGAAAGAAATCACAGTTCCTCTTTCTGTTTGTAAAGGTTTCCCTTGACATTTAGTCCAGTCGTGTCCGACTCTAGGGTGCGGTGCTCATCCCCGTTTCCAACCCGTAGAACCAACGTTTTGTCCGAAGACAATCTTTCCATGGTCACATGGTCAGTGCGACTAGACCCGGAATGCCGTGACCTTCCCACCGAGGTGGTACCTATTTATCTACTCACATTTTTACATGCTTTCGAATGGCTAGGTTGGCAGGAGCTGGGACTAGCGACGGGAGCTCCCTCCATCCCATGGATTCGATCTTACGACTGCAGGTCTTCTGACCCTGCAGCACAGAGACCTCTGCGGTTTAACCCACAGCACCACCATGTCCCGTTGTACCCTGCCCGAATTCCAGGGATCACATGTGCGTCCCTGGTTGGCAGACCTCTCAATTCCAGTAAAAGACCAGCTGGATTATCCCACAAGTTTAGGACTACCCACCTCTGTTTGAAGGGAGGCACAGGCATCAATGATGAGACAGAAGAACTCGTTCCGAACTCAGAAAGTTCTTTATTTTTTTTTAAGCAAAGAAATCCATTGAATCAAATATAACAAAATTACTCTGTTCCGCAATGACCTCTGTCTAGCCCACACAGAAAACAAAAATTAAGGGGGGAAAAAAGGGACACACTTTGATTAAAACATGAAACCTTAGCAGATTTAGAAAAAAAATTGCATTGCTAGTTGCAAATGTTTGTCCCCCAAAACAACCAGCTCCTAAGAGTTCAGAAAGGAACCGGTCACGATGAAGAATCGCTTGCAAACATGAAACTTTTTCAGGGCAGCATTTTTTTTGTGTGTGGTTTTTTGTTTTTGTTTTTTTGTTTCCAAAGAATTCGGGAATGCGGTTTCTGAAAGGTCTATTTGGAAACAAAAACTGCCAACCACCCCCCCGAGACTTGGACAAAAATAAAAATAAAATTAAAACCCAAACACTCAACTCACTCTGAGTAAGGCAGCTGCAGTGATGGAAATCAAAGAGTGCACAGGTACTGGTCTGGCTTCCTGAGGTGTGTTTAGGATATCGCTCTGCTTGGGTTGTTCAGGAGGAGAAAAACAACAAGACCGGGAATGTTCTCTTATCCAGAATGAATCTATGGCTTTATTAGATTCCTGTGGATAGGATATGACTGCTGATGACAGAGTTAAGCTCTCCAAGTTCCGAGTTTACAACAGCTAGTGCTGACGTTGGGATAAGCTACCCCCCCCCTTTTTTTTCCTTTTTTAAACCTAGCCACTCTGATATGAAACTGAACCACAGGGAATAGCGGCAAGGCTGTCCGCACTAGCAAAGACACTTGCTGCTTCCAGCCAAAGTCCAAAAATGGTCCTGCTACTGCAAAAAAGGCCCACAGTATTTTGCTGAACCACAAGAGCAAATATCTCAGGAGACAATGGGTTGCTCCCTTAATTAACAGATTCGGTTTGATGGTCTCAGGGACAGAGAAGGTAACGGGGACAAATCCTGCACAAAGGAAAAAAGAAAGGCTGGTCCCATCTGGCAGTGATGGGGAAGAAGTAGCGGGGATGGGAAATACCAATTCTCAGTTCCTGCTTAATAAATGCTGCCCTTTTATGGTTGTGCTGTTCATGTGACCAGCAAAAAAAAAGAGAACAGAACACCAGATGTAGAAATGTTATACAGTAAAATTACTGATATAAAATGACACAGATTGTTTCCCCCATTTTAACCCAGACAATTTCATGTCATTCTGCCATGTCGCCATCCCAAAGGTACCTCAAGGGAGAAGTGGGCAAAAGAAACTTATTCCAGACAGAAACGTAAGTAGAAAGAGCGAGAGGATGTTTACACAGGATGAAGGCCACAGATCCCATGGGTGTCACATGGCGCACCCCTATGGGAATTGGATCCTTGCGCTTCAAGGAGAGCAAAGGGCCCACACTTCCAATCTCCGAACTTCAAGGAAAGGCTGCCCTTGCGCCCTCATGCCACTGAGACCAGTGCAGAACAGCCCAGCCAAAGTGCCAATAAATACAGATCTCTGGGAAGGGCCTGGAGGTGCGGCTGGCACATCTGAAACCACCTTCTTGCTCATAATTTTCCTGCTGGGACAATGTACTTACTGATACAAACTACCATCTCCCCTTTGTTCATTTCCTTGTCGTGATTTCAGGGACAAATACCAGTCCCAGTTTCGACTTGTGTAGCTGCTGCTTCTTCCCCGCCCCCCCCCGAAACCTCAAATCTGTTTAACTACTTCATCTTAGTCAAGCTCTCATCACCATACCATGCTTTCCCCTGCAGTAGCAGAACAGACTCTGGCAGACCCAAGAGACCATCTCATTTCTGGACTTATTCTCAGGGCAAGGAAAAAACAAACAAGCAACAATTTTCGAACATAACGATTACACCTCTGAACGAAGCGCCTTGGGATTGGTCCTCTGTATGGCTCCATATTTGTGGGATGATGCCCAAAGTCTCTTTCTATCCTTCATGAACAAACACATCTTCAAATTGATTCTGACACTTTTGTTTGTTTTAAGAATTCCCCCCCCTCAACATTTTAAATTATAGCTCTTCTCCCTAAAAAGGCGACAGTATACTGGTGCACAGCCACCCCGTCCCTGAGCACCAAAGCTGAAGAATGCCATCGAAAGAAGGCACTGACTCCCTTTCTTGCTTACTTGGGAAACCAATCTGCAGTTCCTGGACCCTTAAAAAAAAATTCAAGTAAGCGGTGCAGCCCCGCCATCCACTTTCAGCAGGAGAAGATATGAAAAACCTATGTTTATACTTTTAAGTTACAGTCTGTTCATTTTAATTGCAAGGTCTTTGGGTAAAAGCCAAAACAACTTCCCTCGTGCTAAAAGTCTGCTGCTAAGCATGGTTGAAGAGAAAGATGGGTCTTGGCAGCAGGTCAAGTTGCACTACTTTTCCTACTAGCTGCTGGGAATCAGCTTCAGGCTGAGGAGGAGGGCAAGCTAATAACGCTGGATGGCGATGTATTGTGAACCAACCGCAGAACTCCTTACAAACAGTCCACAGGAAATGAATGAACCACATTAACTCCCATCTTGTGTCCTATACTGAACAAAAGTAACTGAAACATCTGATTCTGCTCCGGTAGGAAGAAAAATTCTCAGCAGTGCAAGCCACCATGTCAGCTGTGCATGACGTTTTTAGGGTCCTTATATTGGATTCTGTACATTTCAGAATGTACCAGAACTTGCTAAAGGATGATGGAGAAACAGGATGAGAAAGGATACTAAGCCTGCTGTTCAGGAAGACACAGAAGGAAAGCTTTATGCACACTACCTGAATCCTGCACTGGGTGGCTCCATCATTTCCCCTTGTCTTGGGGAGGAAGAGAGCCCGAATCCTTTCACCAGATAAAATGTGATTTAAGTTGCAGAGTCTGCTGAACAGGCCAAGACTGCTGGACTAAGACTGAAGGGAATCTTGACATTTGATGGGGAAAAATCCACCTTTGTTGCAACACTTAATTATTGCTCACTTAAAGAAAACAACACCACTCCATAAACAAAGCACAAATGTTTCTGAATTTCAAAGCTGACCCAGGGGATGCCAGCAAACCCTCTAAGAAAGGCTTCCTACCCAAGGTAAAAGCAAGCAAACAAACAAAAACAAACCCCCAAACAAAGGAACCCTAGAATTAAAGTGCCTAGCTAGCGAAATAACAGTTAAAAATAATAAAGTGCTAACTGATAGGGAGACATTTTGATGTGATGGTTACTGTAAGAAACAGTGATGAATGGGGCTGCTACATGGGAACACTTCCAGAGCGGAGTAAAAGCAAAGCAGTCTGACCACAGAGTTCTGTTACTATCTTAATACAGGGATTTATAAACCAGATTCTTCCAAACATAACCATTATCACCATCCTGATAGAACACTTCTTTCCCTTGCAGGCAAAAAATACTTCAGTACTGATCTCTCTCTCTCAATTCTATGGTAGCAAAGAGATCGCTTCCTCGGCACATCTTATCTTAATGTAATAGGCAGCATTTTCTTGTGCTAAAAGACAACAACATGTAGTGCTAGACTCATGAAATTTGTCTTATGGAACCAAACAATTGCAGAGGCATTTAAATACGGAAACACGTTTTGCTATTTGGCGTAGCAGACACGTCCCATCCTTACCACCTCAAACTGAAATAGCCACTAGGTGCCTTAAACTTTGGCGGCTTTATTTTTCATGGGCCGCCCTCATGAGCCCAAGAGACCAGGGTGAGGCAAAGAGCATGGGTATCTTGTGGATTCTACCTCTCACACACAGATTTCCTATGAGCATAGACACAGATTTGCTGGGGGGGGGGGAACTATTCTAAAGGGGACCTGAACTACCCACAGACTGCTATCAACTGGCTTCCATCCAGAGATGGTATTAAAAGGCCTGGGTTAAGAGCACACAAAAGTCTTGTGTCAAAATAAAACTCCTTACATTACAAAAGGCAAGTCTCACAAGGCTACTTGTGTAGTCTCAAGTGGTAAAAAAATAAAAGAGAGAGAAAGAGAATCCAAGAATCCACTGGACTGATCTACTCAGAAGCCTCCTATGTGTGAAGTCCTGACAATAACGCAACATGTGACGAATGCACTCGGCCATCCACGCCAATATTCTGGGGAAACTGAAGTGCTGATAAGATTCCAAGTTCTTTCAAAACAATCTCAAAACCTAGCAGTGCTTTAATCGAAAAGAACATGGTTCCTTGCTTTCACAGAGGGATAAGAATCCGAAAAACTCAAAATTCCACGTCTTCTTCCTTGATTTTGTGGGCGGCCATACAGACAACTTGTAAATGTGAACTGCTGGCTTCTTCTACGGAATGACATAAACTTCTCCCCTTAGTGGGTTGTGTGGGGCTGGCGAGGCAAATGCAACCACAAAGAGAATGGAACCTATGACTCACAGTAGTGACAGCTATTTAGGTTTTGCTAAAAAAAACCCCACAGGAGGCTGTTCTTCTGTTTGCTTTTCTCTTGTGATCGGAGCGGACGTGTGAGCCAAAGGGAAAGAGCACTGGAACTGCTTGCTCCTTTCAAAGAGGTTCTGTTGCTGCACTGCTTTCGGAACCTTGACGCGCCCAAGAACGAGCCATCCCTCAACACAGTGGATCAGTTTTCTCCATGGACGAGAGCACTGTGAACATTCAGATAAGATACCCAAGTTGCTCAAAACCAGCTATGAAACTCCTTGTGTCGCAGATCTGCTTTGGCATGAAACACTGCGGTCCAATGCCCAAGATCAAGGGGTTCAGAAGACTGGCCTGGAAAAGCAGGAGGAAGAAGAGACAAGTTCCAGAAGACGGGGATTAAGGTGAGACAACCTGAAACATCTCCTGGGACTGTTTATTCTTGGCCAGATGATTGTTCTGCATCAGAGCACAGGGACTTAGTCTTCTCCCACTGACAGATAGCATTGGCGTACTGCACCACAAGCTTATCCATCCAGGTGAGGGGCTCAGGAAAGAGGACGGCGCCCTCAAAGAAGCCCAGGTGACCTCCGTGTAGAGGCAAAACAAACATGACATTCTCCCGCTTTTCTGAAACAGTGGGAAAAAAAAGTAAGATTTAGAATGCGTCTTAACAGCATATTTTGCACAGTGATGGAATACAATCACAGATGTTTAGGAAAGGAAGACCGTTCTTCTCGTCAAGATATGCACTTGACAAGCTGCCAACAGAGCTCTGATCGCGGACACAGTCTTCCTGCTCTAAGCAGCCGACACCAGGCACAAGGCAGGGTCGCAATCTACAGAAACCCACATTTATGGTGCACTTTTCTAACTGCTCCTATTAGAAATCTGATCGCCCCCAAACATTCCTCTTCTGGGAAGGGGATCTGGCCTTGTATACTCTCCACAATGCATGCAAACTGATGGGGGCCGTAAAGAACAATAACTGCATGAGAAACTCCATGCATCAGCAGTCTCAAACATTTCTGAAATCACAAAACCATCTTCACAGCGGCCCAAAGACTATGTTCAGGCTAATGCAATCATTTGTGCCTTACAGTGTATTTGGGATTCAGAATGATCTTTCAGTATAGCCAGTAGATGTGCGTTTTCCCCATAATACTGTCAGGTTCAGAAGGAAAAGCCTGTTTACTGAGGACTTCAGCTCACCTGAAAGGGCTTTTGGAATAGATAAGAGACTATCATGAACCAGAGGGTCATCAGCAGCATTAACTAGCAGGAGGGGAACACAGATCTGCAGAGACAGAAAAAGAAGAGCACCACGTGTGATTTTCAGACAATAGAACCAGCTGCTACCCTGTTTCCCCGAAAATAAGACCAAACATGAAAATTAGCCCTAGTATGATTTTTCAGGATGCTCATAATAAGCCCTACCCCCAAAATAAGCCCCAGTTAAGTGAAATCCCGCCCTCCATTATTGTGCAGCATTGTGCAGCAATCAGAAGATGACATGACTGCATTTGAATAAATGTAGATTGTTGTACATGAAAAAAAATCATCCCCCGAAAATAAGCCCTAATGCGTTTTTGGAGCAAAAATTAATATACGACCCTGTCTTATTTTCAGGAAAACACGGTACATTTATTGGGCTACCAAAGTACTGTATTTTCAAAAGGATGAAACACACGCTTTTTTGAGCCCCAGAGAATTTCTCATCAGTCCTGGGGAAGCCAAACGTATAAAGCTTGGGAAGAGGACCGGGAGAGGAGTGGGAAAATTCAAAAGTCAACCTGGCCAGACATCACAGCCTTGAGAGCTGCAGTTACTAAAGGAAGACAGGCAAGATGAGTCTTGAGATATTGCAAGGCTGCATCTCAAAGGACTTAATCAATAGGTTGCCAAACAACATCCCTGATGATACCAGCTGGCTCAGTTTTCTGACTCAAACAATCACTGAGCCATATGTGCTACAAAAAATAATCTATATCCCAAATCTATTTATGTTCTCAGGGCAGTTGACAAAGCTGTACATTTAACTATACACCCTTACCCATGTTTCAAAACTTATTCTTACTTGTGCTGAGCTGGTTTTCACTCCATCCCATATCTAATACATACACGCACATACAAACAGCGCATGCCAGGGTAAAAGTATATGGCTTTCAATTCCAACAAAAAGAAAAACAACAGAGCAATATTCATGTGTAACTTACTCTGTGCAAGTAGTGCAGACAGCTCTCCTTCTCATAGTATTCCTTTAAGGAGTTGTAGCCATGGAATTTTCTAAGGTAGGACAAGAAACATTCAAGAGATTTTCTTGCTACTGTATCCCTTGCTAATTTCTTCTAATAAAAAACTAGAAGAATTCCCCCAACCAAACACAAATTAACTTGATCTCTACACACCATACACCCCCTGAGGTCTGTTTAGGTTTTACAAGGGCAAAGTTAGACAAAGTTAATACTCTGTTACTAGAACCTCCCCCTTCAGATACAATAGACTAAGTCTCCCATCTGAAAATGCAGAGTGACTTTCCCCTCCAGTCAGATTTCGGTTTTAACCAACAAGAACTGTCTAACATGGGCCCAATTTGCAGGGCTCCTCATACTGCCGGTTCTCCTACTAATCATGGTTAAACAGACAGATGCAAGCAAAAATAAGCACGGAGGCAGATGCTCATAGGAGTTTTGGCAACTCCTATTTCACCTACTGGGAATCCAAGTTCTACACAGGAAAAACACGAGGCAGCAAATACAGGGATTCCTCTGGGAACGGGCGGATCTGCTGCCATAAAGCTTTATGTACAGGAGAAACAATTTCCTAGCCAAGGAAATGTTTTCACTAGTTTCTACTGAAGACTACTGAAAGATATATTTCTCTGCTGGAAAACCTACCCAACAAACTCCAAGACAGATGTTCAGCTATATAACACAACGTGTAGAAAGTGGTAAGCATTGACAAGACAGTCAAACATTCTTTTTAAAAAGATGCAACACAGAGGGGGTATCTGCAGCTGTCAGAATAAGAGAGGGGGAAAGCTCTCTGGTCCATGGGGTCACGAAGAGTTGGACATGACTAAACGACTGAACAAAAAAACAAACAAAAGCTCTCCATCTGTACTTGAATACACAGTACGGAAAGATATGTTGCTAAACCTACAAATCTGAAATATTGCAGGTATACAGTATTTCCCATCTGAACCCTCAATGAACATGCTTAAACAGTCCAGCCTTGGGGAATACGAGGTATTTTAACAGAATGACACTCTTGGTGCTAATATGATACTTGCACCACTGTTCAAAGTGCACCACTCGACAATAGTAATGATGGGAGGATGCTGAGCAAAATTGATAGCTCTTCCACTGTTCAAAGTGCACCACTTGACAAGAGTAATGATGGGAGGATGCTGAGCAAAATTCCAGGTTCTTACATAAGACAAAGATTTCTAGTGAAGGCTCAAGACTGATATGACAGAAATATAGTACAATCTCAACTACACAGTCAGATTCTGATCAGGCAACACTCCAAATTCTCACTCCTACAAATGTACTAGATACTGCTGTTGTTCTGTGCTGTCAAGTTGCTTCCGACTTATAACGGCCCTATGAATAAGCCATGCCCAATATGTCCTCCTCAACTGCCCTGCTCAGCATGCTAACTGTATAAAAAGCCAGCTCATAGTAAACCAAATTTCTAAACAAGAAGCCGAGTAAAGAATGCTTGGGAGTTATATGTGCAATTTTATTCAGAACAGCCTTCATGTCAAAAAGATGGAATCGTTAATACAGCAGCCTTCCTCAACGTGGCTTCCTCCATATGTTTTACTAATCTCATTATCGGCTCTGTGGGCTGGGGATGATGAGAATCATGGTCCAAAACACCCGGGGAGTGTTGGGCTGGGCAAAGCCTACAATATATGAGGGGATGTTGCCAAGCTGCTTCCTAGCATACCTCATGATGTTGTCATCAATCTGCATGAGTGATGTCGCAGTGTGAAGTCTGTTCAAGTCTGTATCTGCCAAACATTGAGGCTTTTTGGAGTTCTCAGTGAACAAAGCTTGCCTGAAATACAATAGAAAGTAGCAGCAGTTTAGGCAAACCAAGCAGGGGTCCTACTCTGAAGTTGCTACAGAAATGTACACCCTGAGGTCTGTTTAGGTGGAGAAGTCTCATAATCCATGTCAACATGTCTATTTTGTGTCACAATGCTCCCACCCCGATGCTTAGTGACTTATACTGAGCCAGAAATGTCAAGCCAAGTTTTTTCAAAATTAGATGGGCAGGATCAGCTCTAGTGTCTTGGAAGGGCAGGATGTAATTTTAAAAACAAATAGTGAGAAAGACCCAAAACTGGTTAATTCTGGTTCGGTCACACCTGATATAGTTGAAACTGCATCTGGAGAGAGTTCAGACATGGGAAATTGTGGAGTGCCACAAAGTGAAAGATGCAGGGATCTAACTGCTTCTGAAAAGGCACACCGTTTCGTGGTGGTGAGGACTTCCATCGAAGCCAGTTAAGAGCAAATGTTTCACAGGTCACAATAGCCACAGATTATTTTGCAAAGAACCTTTTTGCAGTCAGAACTCTTAATCTGGCAGTGTCAAGCTAGAGCAGTGATGGTAAACCTTTTTTGGGCCCAAATGCTCAAGCTGAAAAACAAACAAAAAACAACAACCCAGCAGATGGCGGGCCACAGCGGCGGAAAGGGGAATCCTGGGCAGGGAAGTGCCTCGAGACCCCACTCCAGATCCACCACCAGCACCAGCTGCTCTGGATCCTGGCCCGCCGCCTCTTGAAGTGCCAGCACCGTGGCTGCACCTGCCTCTGCAGGTT